TTCTTCTGCCACAGGAGCTCCTTCTCCACCTTGGGCTGGTGAAGCCTTGCCGCTTTCCGGTACGCCGTCCGCCGCTTCCATCGTACGGGCTGCTGCTTCCGCTGCGGCCACCGCCTCAGGTGCTGCTGCCTACAGCGGAAGCTGGTACCTCCGGTGCTGCTTCAGGGACAGCTCCATCGACCGCTACTGCCGTATCGGCGGCTGCTTGTGGCACTGCTGCTCCTTCTCCCTCAGCGGCTGGTGATGCTTATCCTTCTGCCACTGGAGCTCCTTCTCCACCTTCGGCTGGTGCAGCCTCTCCGCCTTCCGGTAAGCTGCCCGAAGCTTTCGTCGTTGGGGCTGCTGCTTGCGCTGCGGCCACCGCTTCTGGAGCTGCTGCCTACAGCGGAAGCTGGTACCTCCGGTGCTGCTTCAGGGACAGCTCCATCGGCTGCTACTGCCGTATCGGGGGTTGCTTATGTAACTGCTGCTCCTTCTCCCTCGGCGGCTGGTGCTCGTCCTCCGTCTGTCACAGGAACTCCATCTCCGCCTTCGGCTGGTGCAGCCTCGACCGTTGGTTGTGCCACTGCTGCTCCTGTTCCCTCGGCGGCTGGTGTTCCTTCTCCTTCTGCAGCAAGAGCGCCTTCTCCGCCTTCGGCTGGTGCAGCCTTCCCGCCTTCCGGTACGCCGCCCGCCGCTTCCATCGTAGGGGCTGTTGCGTCCGCTGCGGCCACCGCCTCAGGTGCTGCTGCATACAGCGGAAGCTGGTACCTCCGGTGCTGCTTCAGGGACAGCTCCATTGGCCGCTACTGCCGTATCGGCGGCTGCTTGTGGCACTGCTGCTCCTTCCTCGGCGGCAGGTGATCCTTCTTCTGCCACAGGAGCTCCTTCTCCACCTTGGGCTGGTGAAGCCTTGCCGCTTTCCGGTACGCCGTCCGCCGCTTCCATCGTACGGGCTGCTGCTTCCGCTGCGGCCACCGCCTCAGGTGCTGCTGCCTACAGCGGAAGCTGGTACCTCCGGTGCTGCTTCAGGGACAGCTCCATCGACCGCTACTGCCGTATCGGCGGCTGCTTGTGGCACTGCTGCTCCTTCTCCCTCAGCGGCTGGTGATCCTTATCCTTCTGCCACTGGAGCTCCTTCTCCGTCTTCTGCTGGTGCAGCCTCGACGGTTGCCTATAGAACTGCTGGTCCTCCCTCGGCGGCTGGTGCTCCTCCTCCTTCTGCCACTGGAGCTCCTTCTCCACCTTCGGCTGGTGCAGCCTCTCCGCCTTCCGGTAAGCTGCCCGAAGCTTTCGTCGTTGGGGCTGCTGCTTCCGCTGCGGCCACCGCCTGAGGTGCGTCTGCCTACAGCGGTAGCTGGTACCTCCGGTGCTGCTTCAGGGACAGCTCCATCGGCCGCTACTGCCGTATCGGTGGCTGCTTGTGGCACTGCTGCTCCTTCCTCGGCGGCTGGTGATCCTTCTTCTGCCACAGGAGCTCCTTCTCCACCTTGGGCTGGTGAAGCCTTGCCGCTTTCCGGTACGCCGTCCGCCGCTTCCATCGTAGGGGCTGCTGCTTCCGCTGCGGCCACCGCCTCAGGTGCTGCTGCCTACAGCGGAAGCTGGTACCTCCGGTGCTGCTTCAGGGACAGCTCCATCGACCGCTACTGCCGTATCGGCGGCTGCTTGTGGCACTGCTGCTCCTTCTCCCTCAGCTGCTGGTGATCCTTATCCTTCTGCCACTGGAGCTCCTTCTCCACCTTCGGCTGGTGCAGCCTCTCCGCCTTCCGGTAAGCTGCCCGAAGCTTTCGTCGTTGGGGCTGCTGCTTCCGCTGCGGCCACCGCTTCTGAAGCTGCTGCCTACAGCGGTAGCTGGTACCTCCGGTGCTGCTTCAGGGACAGCTCCATCGGCTGCTACTGCCGTATCGGGGGTTGCTTATGGAACTGCTGCTCCTTCTCCCTCGGCGGCTGGTGCTCCTCCTCCGTCTGTTGCAGGAACTCCATCTCCGCCTTCGGCTGGTGCAGCCTCGACCGTTGGTTGTGCCACTGCTGCTCCTGTTCCCTCGGCGGCTGGTGTTCCTTCTCCTTCTGCAGCAAGAGCGCCTTCTCCGCCTTCGGCTGGTGCAGCCTTCCCGCCTTCCGGTACGCCGCCCGCCGCTTCCATCGTAGGGGCTGTTGCGTCCGCTGCGGCCACCGCCTCAGGTGCTGCTGCATACAGCGGAAGCTGGTACCTCCGGTGCTGCTTCAGGGACAGCTCCATCGGCCGCTACTGCCGTATCGGTGGCTGCTTGTGGCACTGCTGCTCCTTCCTCGGCGGCTGGTGATCCTTCTTCTGCCACAGGAGCTCCTTCTCCACCTTGGGCTGGTGAAGCCTTGCCGCTTTCCGGTACGCCGTCCGCCGCTTCCATCGTAGGGGCTGCTGCTTCCGCTGCGGCCACCGCCTCAGGTGCTGCTGCCTACAGCGGAAGCTGGTACCTCCGGTGCTGCTTCAGGGACAGCTCCATCGACCGCTACTGCCGTATCGGCGGCTGCTTGTGGCACTGCTGCTCCTTCTCCCTCAGCTGCTGGTGATCCTTATCCTTCTGCCACTGGAGCTCCTTCTCCACCTTCGGCTGGTGCAGCCTCTCCGCCTTCCGGTAAGCTGCCCGAAGCTTTCGTCGTTGGGGCTGCTGCTTCCGCTGCGGCCACCGCTTCTGAAGCTGCTGCCTACAGCGGTAGCTGGTACCTCCGGTGCTGCTTCAGGGACAGCTCCATCGGCTGCTACTGCCGTATCGGGGGTTGCTTATGGAACTGCTGCTCCTTCTCCCTCGGCGGCTGGTGCTCCTCCTCCGTCTGTCACAGGAACTCCATCTCCGCCTTCGGCTGGTGCAGCCTCGACCGTTGGTTGTGCCACTGCTGCTCCTGTTCCCTCGGCGGCTGGTGTTCCTTCTCCTTCTGCAGCAAGAGCGCCTTCTCCGCCTTCGGCTGGTGCAGCCTTCCCGCCTTCCGGTACGCCGCCCGCCGCTTCCATCGTAGGGGCTGTTGCGTCCGCTGCGGCCACCGCCTCAGGTGCTGCTGCATACAGCGGAAGCTGGTACCTCCGGTGCTGCTTCAGGGACAGCTCCATCGGCCGCTACTGCCGTATCGGCGGCTGCTTGTGGCACTGCTGCTCCTTCCTCGGCGGCTGGTGATCCTTCTTCTGCCACAGGAGCTCCTTCTCCACCTTGGGCTGGTGAAGCCTTGCCGCTTTCCGGTACGCCGTCCGCCGCTTCCATCGTACGGGCTGCTGCTTCCGCTGCGGCCACCGCCTCAGGTGCTGCTGCCTACAGCGGAAGCTGGTACCTCCGGTGCTGCTTCAGGGACAGCTCCATCGACCGCTACTGCCGTATCGGCGGCTGCTTGTGGCACTGCTGCTCCTTCTCCCTCAGCTGCTGGTGATCCTTATCCTTCTGCCACTGGAGCTCCTTCTCCACCTTCGGCTGGTGCAGCCTCTCCGCCTTCCGGTAAGCTGCCCGAAGCTTTCGTCGTTGGGGCTGCTGCTTCCGCTGCGGCCACCGCTTCTGAAGCTGCTGCCTACAGCGGTAGCTGGTACCTCCGGTGCTGCTTCAGGGACAGCTCCATCGGCTGCTACTGCCGTATCGGGGGTTGCTTATGGAACTGCTGCTCCTTCTCCCTCGGCGGCTGGTGCTCCTCCTCCGTCTGTCACAGGAACTCCATCTCCGCCTTCGGCTGGTGCAGCCTCGACCGTTGGTTGTGCCACTGCTGCTCCTGTTCCCTCGGCGGCTGGTGTTCCTTCTCCTTCTGCAGCAAGAGCGCCTTCTCCGCCTTCGGCTGGTGCAGCCTTCCCGCCTTCCGGTACGCCGCCCGCCGCTTCCATCGTAGGGGCTGTTGCGTCCGCTGCGGCCACCGCCTCAGGTGCTGCTGCATACAGCGGAAGCTGGTACCTCCGGTGCTGCTTCAGGGACAGCTCCATCGGCCGCTACTGCCGTATCGGCGGCTGCTTGTGGCACTGCTGCTCCTTCCTCGGCGGCTGGTGATCCTTCTTCTGCCACAGGAGCTCCTTCTCCACCTTGGGCTGGTGAAGCCTTGCCGCTTTCCGGTACGCCGTCCGCCGCTTCCATCGTACGGGCTGCTGCTTCCGCTGCGGCCACCGCCTCAGGTGCGTCTGCCTACAGCGGTAGCTGGTACCTCCGGTGCTGCTTCAGGGACAGCTCCATCGGCCGCTACTGCCGTATCGGCGGCTGCTTGTGGCACTGCTGCTCCTTCTCCCTCGGCGGCTGGTGATCCTTCTTCTGCCACAGGAGCTCCTTCTCCGTCTTCGTCTGGTGCAGCCCCTCCGCCTTCCGGTACGGCGCCCGCCGCTTCCATCGTACGGGCTGCTGCTTCCGCTGCGGCCGCCGCTTCTGGAGCTGCTGCCTACAGCGGTAGCTGGTACCTCCGGTGTTGCTTCAAGGATAGCTCCATTGGCCGCTACTGCCGTATCGGCGGCTGCTTGTGGCACTGCTGCTCCTTCCTCGGCGGCTGGTGATCCTTCTTCTGCCACTGGAGCTCCTTCTCCACCTTGGGCTGGTGAAGCCTTGCCGCTTTCCGGTACGCCGTCCGCCGCTTCCATCGTAGGGGCTGCTGCTTCCGCTGCGGCCACCGCCTCAGGTGCTGCTGCCTACAGCGGAAGCTGGTACCTCCGGTGCTGCTTCGGGAACAGCTCCATCGACCGCTACTGCCGTATCGGCGGCTGCTTGTGGCACTGCTGCTCCTTCTCCCTCGGCGGCTGGTGATCCTTCTTCTGCCACAGGAGCTCCTTCTCCGTCTTCGTCTGGTGCAGCCCCTCCGCTTTCCGGTACGGCGCCCGCCGCTTTCGTCGTAGGGGCTGCTGCTTCCGCTGCGGCCACCGCCTCTGGTGCTGCTGCCTAGAGCGGTAGCTGGTACCTCCGTGCTTCTTGAGGGACAGCTCCATCGGCCGTTACTGCCGTATCGGCTCGACTCCAACTCCATGTTGTTATACAACTCGCTCTCGCCAAGCTCGCTCCAGACGGTGACCTGGAGCTTGGCATCCGGCAGCTTGGACCAGTTGAAGCTGTTTTATAGATTCGTGGGTTGCGGCACGTTCTTCTTTGGCAGCTCCACCTTGGGTGGCACAGGAGCTGCAGGCAAAGGATAGAAATTAGTTTATGTGACGCTCCTTGACTTGCCTTATCTCTGTACTCACTCATTGCTGGCGTCATGCACGGTGGCCGGAGCGTGCACCCGGACAGGGTGGCGGTAATGGTGGCATCATGGCCGGCGCCATCGGTGGCGTTAGGGCACAGCTGCATTGCAGACACGTCAGACCGGCCATCTTCTGGACATCGGATATGCTGCCCTCGGTGACAAGATGCTCGAAACGGGCCAGCTCCTGCTGTACACGAAGCGATGATAAAGAACTACTAATAAGTTGTAAAAAATGACAGTCACTCACAGATAATAGTGATAAAGTGGCTGCTCACTTTGGAAAAATGTACTAAATAATGACACTCACTTTTCGAACGAAATGTAGTGAACCTTAGCTGGTCACACTTACTAGTAAAGTAGTGCGAAAACGAGCTGGTCACACTACAAAAAATAGTAAGTCGATAACTTACGATGACGATAAATTTCTGATGGCGGTTGTTTGTGGCACTGCTGCTCCTCCCTCAGCGGCTGGTGATCCTTATCCTTCTGCCACTGGAGCTCCTTCTCCGCCTTCTGCTGGTGCAGCCTCTCCGCCTTCCGGTAAGCTGCCCGAAGCTCGTCGTTGGGGCTGCTGCTTCCGCTGCGGCCACCGCTTCTGGAGCTGCTGCCTACAGCGGTAGCTGGTACCTCCGGTGTTGCTTCAAGGACAGCTCCATCGACCGCTACTGCCGTATCGGCGGCTGCTTGTGGCACTGCTACTCCTTCCTCGGCGGCTGGTGATCCTTCTTCTGCCACAGGAGCTCCTTCTCCATCTTGGGCTGGTGAAGCCTCTCCGCCTTCCGGTACGCCGCCCGCCGCTTCCATCGTAGGGGCTGCTGCTTCCGCTGCGGCCACCGCCTCAGGTGCTGCTGCCTACAGCGGAAGCTGGTACCTCCGGTGCTGCTTCAGGGACAGCTCCATCGGCTGCTACTGCCGTATCGGGGGTTGCTTATGTAACTGCTGCTCCTTCTCCCTCGGCGGCTGGTGCTCCTCCTCCGTCTGTCACAGGAACTCCATCTCCGCCTTCGGCTGGTGCAGCCTCGACCGTTGGTTGTGCCACTGCTGCTCCTGTTCCCTCGGCGGCTGGTGTTCCTTCTCCTTCTGCAGCAAGAGCGCCTTCTCCGCCTTCGGCTGGTGCAGCCTTCCCGCCTTCCGGTACGCCGCCCGCCGCTTCCATCGTAGGGGCTGTTGCGTCCGCTGCGGCCACCGCCTCAGGTGCTGCTGCATACAGCGGAAGCTGGTACCTCCGGTGCTGCTTCAGGGACAGCTCCATCGGCCGCTACTGCCGTATCGGCGGCTGCTTGTGGCACTGCTGCTCCTTCCTCGGCGGCTGGTGATCCTTCTTCTGCCACAGGAGCTCCTTCTCCACCTTGGGCTGGTGAAGCCTTGCCGCTTTCCGGTACGCCGTCCGCCGCTTCCATCGTACGGGCTGCTGCTTCCGCTGCGGCCACCGCCTCAGGTGCTGCTGCCTACAGCGGAAGCTGGTACCTCCGGTGCTGCTTCAGGGACAGCTCCATCGACCGCTACTGCCGTATCGGCGGCTGCTTGTGGCACTGCTGCTCCTTCTCCCTCAGCGGCTGGTGATCCTTATCCTTCTGCCACTGGAGCTCCTTCTCCACCTTCGGCTGGTGCAGCCTCTCCGCCTTCCGGTAAGCTGCCCGAAGCTTTCGTCGTTGGGGCTGCTGCTTCCGCTGCGGCCACCGCCTCAGGTGCGTCTGCCTACAGCGGTAGCTGGTACAAACCGCCGCTTCCATCGTACGGGCTGCTGCTTCCGCTGCGGCCACCGCCTCAGGTGCTGCTGCCTACAGCGGAAGCTGGTACCTCCGGTGCTGCTTCAGGGACAGCTCCATCGACCGCTACTGCCGTATCGGCGGCTGCTTGTGGCACTGCTGCTCCTTCTCCCTCAGCGGCTGGTGATCCTTATCCTTCTGCCACTGGAGCTCCTTCTCCACCTTCGGCTGGTGCAGCCTCTCCGCCTTCCGGTAAGCTGTCCGAAGCTTTCGTCGTTGGGGCTGCTGCTTCCGCTGCGGCCACCGCCTCAGGTGCGTCTGCCTACAGCGGTAGCTGGTACCTCCGGTGCTGCTTCAGGGACAGCTCCATCGGCCGCTACTGCCGTATCGGTGGCTGCTTGTGGCACTGCTGCTCCTTTCTCGGCGGCTGGTGATCCTTCTTCTGCCACAGGAGCTCCTTCTCCGTCTTCGTCTGGTGCAGCCCCTCCGCCTTCCGGTACGGCGCCCGCCGCTTTCGTCGTAGGGGCTGCTGCTTCCGCTGCGGCCACCGCCTCTGGTGCTGGTACCTCCGTGCTTCTTGAGTTATACAACTCGCTCTCGCCAAGCTCGCTCCAGACGGCAGCTTGGACCAGTTGAAGCTGTTTTATAGATTCGTGGGCTGCGGCACGTTCTTCTTTGGCAGCTCCACCTTGGGTGGCACAGGAGCTGCAGGCAAAGGATAGAAATTAGTTTATGTGACGCTCCTTGACTTGCCTTATCTCTGTACTCACTCATTGCTGGCGTCATGCACGGTGGCCGGAGCGGTGCACCCGGACAGGGTGGCGGTAATGGTGGCATCATGGCCGGCGCCATCGGTGGCGTTATGGCACAGCTCCATTGCAGACACGGCAGACCGGCCATCTTCTGGACATCGGATATGCTGCCCTCGGTGACAAGATCCTCGAAACGGGCCAGCTCCTGCTGTACACGAAGCGATGATAAAGATCTACAAATAAGTTGTTAAGAATGACAGTTACTTTTCAAAGATAGTGAAAAATTAGTTGGTCACACACACAGTTGTATATCGATAAATTTAGATGACGATAAATTCCCGCAATATAAGGTTGACAAACTAGGTCATTTCTAGCTACAAATAGCAAAATGGACAGCTCTAATTAGCACCTCTTTCTTCAAAATTAAGCCCAGTTTTGCGGTTTTTGTTCGCGTGGTGCTTTAGATCCAGAAATTAATGATTTTGTACTAAAATTGTCCGAATTGCTGTCCCGTCTTTGCCTACAACAACAACAGCTACTCTTATACATCAAAATTTTTTAAAACACAACAGGAGGAAGTATATTAATTTTACCACCAATCAATTTGATACGACTTAGCTAATTTATTATTTATATATATATATTATTTATTTTTGGTTTACTTACCGCGTCAATAAATTTAGTATTTAATTTATGAATTATTTAGTGCAATAATTTTGGTATATTTGCTTTAAGCGCTGGGCGGTTTTATTATCCAACAATTACACGGTCACACTGAGGCTAAATAAAAATTATTTGGTGTCTAAATTTTGTCTTTTAACGTCTACGTTAAGTAGCTACTTCGTTATTTGGATCATGTTGGCCAAGTTCATTCTGTCGATCGCGGCATGTGCCTTGCTGCTGTTCGCCCTTCTGCCCGCTGTCCATGCGGTCCAGGACGAGGACTCCGCCGGCAAGCAGGCTGAAAAGCAGTTCGCGGTGGAGCTGGACCCTGAGACTTTTGATGCGGCTATTGCCGGCGGCAACGTCTTCGTCAAGTTCTTTGCGCCCTGGTGAGTAGTAGCTGACTTAAGCTTTCCGCGTCGGAGTCCACGTCTATGACCAATATTGGCAAACTTCTGCCGGCGAATCGTAGCAGTCCACATCGTTTATTTGATGTGACCAAGCCACGCACACATAACCACCAGCTGTGTTCCGACCTCTAATTCCGCTGATGTATTGAGAATTTCGCAAAGTTGGTGCTAATCTTAAAACAAATAGAGTATAAAATTAGTAATATATATCATAATCCCATATTTATATTTACATTATGATCTACAAAAAGATGTCAAGTATTTTATAAGCGGGGGAACATAATACATTAGCGAAATCAGCGAATTTATAAACAGGAACAACTTTGTGTGTATGTTAATATTGGCACACCGCATATTTGTGCAGGTGAATGGATAGTTGTCGGTGTTGGTGATGCTTGCTATATGTGTTCCTGCGCTAATACCTGAAGATCTGACGTGAACCTCTGCCCGATTTGGTCAAGCAAGCAAAGATCCGCGCAGCCGAAGAGATTCGTCATGGGCCAACCGCAATCGAGTGGCACGTTCACTGATAAGACGATCACAGGGGCTTTGTGTTCCAGAAACCCCTCTGCCTAGACCCTGTCCCTTGATTGACACACTAAGCGCTCTGGTCACTGCTCTCTCCCAGCCTATTCTGCCTTATCACAGCCATCGGAGCTGTGTCTATGGGCTTAATTGATTGGTTCCAATTATGTTGCTAGGAAGTGGTCTTTGCGAGGCGATTAGACGCATTAGAGGGAGCAGGAGGCGGGGATCTGCGACTCGCTCGGAATTAGTACTAGATGATAAACTCTTTGTTCGGCACAAAGCACACGCAGTAAGGAGCACAACGCCTTATCACGGTTCATTGTTTTGTCCCCGCTTGTATGCAGGCACCAAATTAATTATTGATTTCGCGATTTTTGTCATTTTAAATTGAAATTAAAACTATACATCTATATATTTGGCTTATGGCCTTAAGGGTGGTGTTGTCGTGGCTCCGAGGTTGACCTTATATACATATATATATATTATATTATCGTCCATATATCGTTTTGTTCACTAGAAGTACTCTTTTATTTTATCCATGCTCAGGTGCGGTCACTGCAAGCGACTGCAGCCACTGTGGGAGCAACTAGCAGAGATAATGAATGTGGATGAGCCAAAGGTGATCATTGCCAAGGTGGACTGCACCAAACACCAGACTCTGTGCGGCACTCACCAGGTTACCGGCTATCCCACACTGCGCCTCTTCAAGCGGGGCGAGGAGGAGTCTGTGAAATTCAAGGGTACCCGCGACTTGCCTGCCATCACTGACTTTATTAACCGGGAACTGAACACACCGGCCGAGACCGATCTGAGCGAGGCGACCAAACGTGAGGAGGTGGGCGAGAACCCTAACCTTGGCAAGGTAGTGGATCTCACCGAGGACACCTTCGCCAAGCATGTGTCCAGCGGCAACCATTTCGTCAAGTTCTTCGCTCCCTGGTGCAGTCATTGTCAGGTAATAAGCATTAAAAATACAAACTATCAACTATTCGAATTACATTTTAACCGAAACTATCTGTCTGCATTTGTTGACTTAAGCTGTGTTCCACCATTTACTGTTAATGATTACCCCCACTCTGACTAACCTATACTTTATCATTGGCAGCGCTTGGCACCAACCTGGGAGACGCTGGCAAAGGAGCTGGTTCAAGAGCCCGCCGTTACCGTATCGAAGATCGACTGCACTCAGTACCGTGTCATTTGCCAGGACTTTGAGGTTAAGGGCTATCCCACACTGCTCTGGATCGAGGACGGCAAAAAGATTGAAAAGTACTCTGGCTCCCGCGACCTGGCCACGTTGAAGACCTATGTGGAAAAGATGGTGGGCCTGCCGCTGGCGAAGAACGCAGAGGACAAGACCGCCGACGCTGAAGCTGCCAAGAAGGAGGATGGCGCCGCCGCCGAGGAGGAGGCAGCGGCCAAGAAGCTTACACCGCAGCAGCTGACCGGCGAGGCAGAATTTGACGAGGCCATCGCCGATGGCGTGGCCTTCATTAAGTTCTATGCCCCGTGGTGCGGACACTGTCAGAAACTGCAACCTACCTGGGAGCAGCTGGCCACCGAGGCGCATCAGGCACACCAGAGCGGCGTGAAGATTGCCAAGGTTGACTGCACGGCACCGGAAAACAAGCAACTCTGCATCGACCAGCAAGTTGAGGGCTATCCCACGCTATTCCTTTACAAGAATGGCCAGCGGCAAAGCGAGTATGAGGGCAGTCGCTCCCTCCCGGAGCTGCAGTCATACCTTAAGAAGTTCCTCGCTCACGACGAGCTCTAAGAAGGACCGGAAGCTAAAACAGGATCAGAAGAAGGAGCAGTCGAATGAACAAAATCGCCCGCCAAACTAAACTAATCTTAAACTTAATGTTTTTTCTTCGCGTTCAGTTAAACCAGCAGCAAGAAACCTCTGTGAGGAGCCCGCATTTACAAAGCATCCAACATCCGACATAGAAAAGACAACATGCAAGTAGCTGGAATAGAAGTCATCCATTTTGTTGTGATCATAGTTTCCGATCCCGTTCTGTGTTCAAGCCTTCGTCCTTTTTCAGTTCCACTAGTGAGCTGGGGCTTGGTTCGTTTCTCCATTTTATGTTTTATGTTTTAGAATTTACTTCAATGAGACGCAGGACGCATTTGTGTGCGCAAAAAGGCCATTTAGCTAACTTCTCCGATTATAATATATTAAATTTTTTGGTCAGCAGGCTACCTTTAAGTCATTCTTAGGAAAATTGTCAATCATAATACAAATAAAAATTTATTCACTATTATTTATTACTATTTATTCACTATTATTACTAGGGAATTAAAGGTCAACAACAGGTAATTAAACAAGTACATTGTATTTAAAGGCTTTTTATTGTTTTTCGCCTGCTGGATGCCTGTTTTTATTTTTATTTTATTTATTTAATAATTGAGTTTCACAACATGCGAACATCTGGCAAACAGACAAAACTCTGAGACAACAAAAGCTTTTGTTTGCTCAACCCACTTGTGTGGAATTTTTCATAAATTTTAAGAAATTTTTTTATTTATCAAGTTTTTTGTTTTTAAATTTTTGTCTTTTTAAAATCGCAACTGATCAACTAAAGCATGCCTAACAACAGAATAATTCGCTTTAATAACCATTTGGAACTAAAGCTCATAATAATATTTATCAGTATATAAAAATACATATACTAGGTCATACCCGTATTTAACTTATTTTGTAATATAACTTCATCTTTAAACATAATATTTTATTGCGCCGTTTTCATCAGTGCTGCGGCCTTAGATCATTTGGGCTAGATCTAGCATTTTTATAATGTTTGAGCTCGAGACTAGAAATTCAGGCAACGCCACGTACTCGAGCAGCCAGGCTTGCCAGCTGCTTGGTCTCGAGTTAGCAACGCTGCCAGACTTTTGAGTCTCGAGCTAACCCTGCCAGATGTCGATGTCGAAAATATTTTATATTTCATTACATTGTCGATAACAATCGATACATCAAGCTGGGCACTCTAAAAAGCAAAACTGCAATTCACGTCAAGAAAAAATTTGTTGATATTTTAAACGTTGCCTACTGAGATTTGAAGAGAATTGGCAAAATGACCGTGACCGCCGCCCCACTGCCCGATAATATGAGGGTGAAAGCCTTCTCTGACTACAGAAAGAAACTGTTGGAGCACAAGGAGATCGAGGGCCGCCTTAAAGAAAGTAAGTTATTCGCCGCCGGCCCATTAGTTTGTTGGCAAAATCCCACCGTTTTTTCCGTATTTCAGAGCGCGAGGAAATCAAGGAGCTGACCAAGCTGTACGATAAGTCGGAGAACGACCTGAAGGCGCTGCAGAGCGTGGGCCAGATAGTGGGCGAAGTGCTAAAGCAGCTCACCGAGGATAAATGTAAGATTTTTGTTCCCGCAGGGTGGATCGTTTGGGTTTTATATGCTTCCTTTGCCTTCCAGTCATCGTGAAGGCCACCAACGGTCCCCGCTACGTGGTCGGATGCCGCCGGCAGCTGGACAAGGCGAAGCTGAAGTCGGGCACCCGTGTGGCCCTCGATATGACCACGCTGACCATTATGCGATATCTGCCCCGAGAGGTGGATCCGTTGGTGTACAACATGTCGCACGAGGACCCCGGTGATGTTACGTACTCGGCCATCGGCGGTCTTACCGAGCAGATTCGTGAGCTGCGCGAGGTGATCGAGCTGCCGCTCCTCAACCCAGAGCTCTTCCTGCGCGTTGGCATCACGCCGCCCAAGGGCTGCCTGCTGTACGGACCCCCCGGCACGGGCAAGACTCTTTTAGCCCGCGCTGTGGCCTCGCAGCTAGATGCCAACTTCCTCAAGGTCGTATCCTCGGCCATTGTGGACAAGTATATCGGCGAGAGTGCCCGCCTCATTCGCGAGATGTTCAACTACGCCCGCGACCACCAGCCCTGCATCATCTTCATGGACGAGATCGACGCCATTGGTGGACGGCGCTTTTCCGAGGGCACCTCGGCGGATCGCGAGATTCAGCGCACACTTATGGAGCTGCTTAACCAGATGGACGGCTTCGATTCCCTCGGCCAGGTTAAGATGATCATGGCAACCAATCGGCCAGATACACTGGATCCCGCTCTATTGCGTCCGGGTCGCCTGGACCGCAAGATCGAGATTCCGCTCCCCAATGAGCAGGCCAGGTGAGTGGTTGTAATCAGTTTCCTTGGCTCCTATCTGGCGTACAAGTAGATAAATCACCTGCGGGTGATTTATGCGACCGTTCAGTCCTCCCTTCGATTATATATCTACCTAAAAGCTAGGCTAAATATATAGATTTTGTAGAATTACTCCTTATCTAATGGAGCACCACACAAGTTGACAAAAGATGAGTCAGAAACCAACTGCCAAACCGAAGAATTTTGTCTGCAAGCTATATTTTTATGCAAGCGATGGGAAACTGTCGCATTAAAATGCTTTCAAAATATATTTCAGACTGGAAATCCTCAAGATTCACGCTATGATAATCGCCAAGCACGGCGAGATCGATTACGAGGCCATTGTGAAGCTCTCAGACAACTTCAACGGCGCTGATCTGCGGAATGTGTGCACGGAGGCTGGTCTCTTTGCCATCCGGTGAGTGCACCACAAGTCTGTCGTCTGCAGGAGCCTCTTTTAACAATTATTCTTTCCTCAATCTCCCCATCTTGCAGCGCCGAACGTGAGTATGTCATCCAGGAGGACTTCATGAAGGCCGTGCGCAAGGTGTCGGACAACAAGAAGCTGGAGAGCAAGTTGGATTACAAGCCTGTCTAGAGCGTGACCCGTCTCCAGTAGAGTTAGCCACGAAAGGATTTACACACATATACAGATTATATATTATGTCCACGAAACAGGCCTGTCATACATAGTCCGTTGCTTTTCTTCATATGCTAATATTAAATGCTATGTAAAGATACGGGTTTGGTTACTTCATTTGGGCTTAGTTGCTCTTCTGCTGCTGCTCCTCGATGCGCCGCTTCTTGCGCTCCAGATAGTCGCTGACATTGTCGAATCGTTTCTTGAACCAAACGGAGAGGTCCTCTGGTTGGAAGCGCACGCAGTTGCCATCGGCGTCTGGCAGGGCGTGCAGTCCATCCAGCACCATATTCAGCCAGCCCTCGGGCACGCCGTTGGACTGTTGGCCAGTGCCGCTGTCGTAAACACGCAGCGCCAGGCGCTCGTTCTCCGCACCCGTCACATATATCCGGTTGGCGGTTAAAGTAAAGTTGCAAATACTCCAGGCACCCGCCTCCGCGCGCACCATCTGCGTGCCCTTGATGGTCCAGCTCTCTCGGCCGCTACGCTCCAGACGGTACACGGCCAGAGCGTCCACGTGGTCGTATAATAGCACTGCCGCCTGAAAGACCTTGTCAGACTCCAGTACACGCACCTGCATACGCACCGCCGGCGCCGGCAGCTCGTGCACCAGCAGCTCCTTGCCCTCGATGAAATTCCATATGCGCAGCGTCTTGTCGCCGGAAGCAGAAGCGATGTGCCGATCGGTGAGCAGCGCCAGTCCCGACACGAACTCACGGTGGCCGAGGCAATAGCTGTGTATGTCGAAGGTGGCGGGATAGTTGGTAACGCGTATCTTGTCGTCCCGGTCGCAGGTAATGATGTGCTGCTGGTCCTCGGACCAAAGAATGTCGTACACCACGCTGAGGTGGCCGAGCAGAAGACGCGGAGCAGCGTCCACCTCCACGCAGTCGTACTGGTAGCAGTCGCCCGTCTTGTCCGTGACCAACACGGAGCTGCTGTCGCAGCAGAAGCGCAATGCGCTAGCGGCGCGGGCCAGCGGCCGAGCGGACAGCAGGCGGGCGTGCTCCGGGCGGGCGCGGTAGAGCAACAGGGCCTTCTGCGCGCCGGACGTGGTCACGGCCAGCAGCTGTCCGTCCGGCGAGTAGCTCACATTCTGCACCGCCACCTCGGACGCCGATCCTGATCCCGAGGCTGTTGCTTCCTGCTGCTTGGCAGCTCCACTACCAGCAGCAGCATCGTCGTCAGCTGCAGCGGCAGCAGGCTGTTGCTCCTGGCCGGGGCCGGGTTCAGTGGCCGGGCAGGAACCGGGCTCGGGGGCCTTAAGGCCGCAAGCGGCCAGGTCTGGGGGCAGCTCGATCTCCTTAAAGATCTGCAGGTCGTCGGGGTTCACAAAAAGCACCCTGCGGCCGAGGCCGATCACCAGTTCAGGCTCGGCGAAGAAAATCGTGGCCATTCTCCTGCGTGTCGGATTGTTCATTAGAGGTGCGCAAACATCGATACAAGGGTCAATGCATCGATGTTTTTCGAATATTCTTACATCGATGTTTTTCGACTATCGATGTTTCTGTGCCACCACTATCAAGGGTGTTTTATATGCTCTAAATAACTTTCATTACAGTGAAAACTTTGATTCACACACACTTTCCTGTTAAACTTTTTTTTTCAATTCACCAGCTCTTTTTTTAGGGCACAAAAAAGCTAATTCAACAGTTAAAAAAGCTAGAAACAGCCAGAATAATTCAGAAAAAATTGGCCGCATTGTCAACCTATTTGAATTTGTGCCACTGTGTGGCGCCTGCAAATGTTTCTTTCTTTATAAGATTACATTTTCTAAGCACAACAGGTGACGCTTGAAAATTTGTCCTTTGTAAGAGGATTACTTAGTTTTCTTATATGTGAAAACTAAAATTACCTTACCTTTTACCTTGTTAATTTATATTTTATTTGATATAAAATGGTCTAAAGTCATTTCAATATTCAACCAACAGGTGGCGCTTGTCAGACTAATTCTTTATAGGAGGACTTTTGTTTGAAGCATAAATACTCTTATAATATTCTTATATGCGAAAACTGACCCAGCAAAACTGTTATAAATAACGTATACGTAATAATTTAAATTAATTTATTATAAAATGAAGTTTATAAAAATGTATTTAAATTATGAAATCAATTTAATTTTAGATCTAAATTCAATTTCCTAAATTGTGCTTATGAAAATACAAAATATTTTTCTTTTTTATGCCAAACAGCTTGACGACATTTTTAATGTTGAATATAAGCAAGACAGCGCAGACAATGATTGTGTAAAAGTAATTAATTTAACCGAAAAGCCCAGTACTGCGCTGCCATGGAGAAGGAGTAGGGAGTCTAGATCTCCCTTTAAGAGCACTTGCGGTGAACGATGGCGGGGCCAGACTCATCATACTCCTCCTTCGTGATCCACATCTGACGGAATGTGCTCATCGAGCCCAGAATGGAGCCACCAATCCACACCGAATACTTGCGCTCCGGCGGTGCAATCACCTTCATCTTCACGGCGGAGGGGGCCAGGTCGCCAAGCTCCTTTTGCATGCGATTAACGATGCCCGGGAACATGGTGCTGCCTCCGGATAGCACGATATTAGCATACAGATCCTTCCGGATATCCACATCACACTTCATAATCGAATTGTGGGTGATTTGGTGAATGCCACACGCATTCATGCCCAGGAGCGAGGGCTGGAACAGGCACTCGGGACACCGGAAACGCTCGCTGCCAACGGTTATCACCTTCTGGTCTGGCAGCTCAAATGTCTTCTCCAAAGCTATCCCAGAGGTGGCAGTGGACAACTCCTGCTCAAAATCGAGTGCAACAAAGCACAGATCCTCCTTGATTTCGCGCACAACTTCCCGTTCAGAGGTGGTGGTCGAGGAATAGCCACCCTCGGCCAGGATCTTCATTAGATATGCGGTTAGATCGCGACCAGCCAGAGCTAGGCGCAGGATGGCATGGGGTAGGGCGTAGCCCTCGTAAACGGGCACCGTGTGGGTAACACCATCCCCAGAGTCCAGAACGATGCCGGTGGTCAGTCCGGAGGCATACAGCGAGAGCACGGCCTGGATGGCCATGTACATGGACGGCGTATTGAAGGTCTCGAACATGATCTGGGTCATCCGCTCGCGATTGGCCTTCGGATTGAGCGGGGCCTCGGTCAGTAGCACCGGATGATCCTCGGGTGCCACGCGCAGCTCGTTGTAGAAGGTGTGATGCCAGATCTTCTCCATGTCATCCCAATCCGCCACGATGCCGTGATCGATGGGATAGCTTAGAGTGAGTATGCCCCTCTTAAACTGCGCCTCATCGCCCACATATACGTCCTTCTGGTCCAAACCCACCATTACGCCGTGATGCCGTGGTCGACCCACCATCGACGGGAAGAGGGCACGCGGTGCATCGTCGCCGGCAAAGCCAGCCTTCAGTGTGCCGGATCCATTGTCCACCACCAAAGCGGGTACCTCTTCGTCGCCCATTTCGAGTAGTTTTTTAAACTTTTGATTGGTTTTTAAATGTATGTAATTTAAGGGAGGGATTCTTAATTGTACTTACTAACAAATCATCCAGCTACTACTGGCTAGCTCGATGATTAAAAAAGCCTAGCTTACTTGTGCGAGGCTTTAAATTGATGTCTTTACTTTAATAGCTAAACTTTCATAACGTACATTAAAAATAAATAAATTAGTTAATTAATATCAACACTGTTTTTAACAATTAACAATAATATCAGCTAAGGTTAATAATAATAATAATGATAATCATAAAAACCCAGCGAAAAATCAAAAAGGTTCAAAATTATCTGTACAAACACCCACTATTTTTTTATCCGTCGCCACTGCTAGCACAGACGCAATCCCAAACAGTAATTCGGAATCAGCTTCTTCAATCACCACATATGCCTAGCCAGTTGCCCAATCCAGTGTTGGAAAAGAACACCCTCCTACTTGAAGGTTTAAATAGAGGGCGCGTAAATTTGTAATAAGTTAAAAGTAGGAAAACAAGTGTTTTTTTATTATACTATTGCAGGGTATGATAATTTCAGTCAGAAGCTTGCAACGCAGTGAAGGGGTCGTTTCCGACCCTATAAATCATATATATTCTTGATCAGCGCCTAAAGCCGAGTCGATCTAGTTATGTTTGTTTTTTTGTTTCCAAATTTTGAAAATTTTTTAAGAGGGTAACATCGTTAAAATTGTCAAATTTTGAAAAAAAAAATTTATGTTGTTAATTTTAAAACCCGATATGCAGATTTTTTAAGCGCTTAAAAACTAGCACAGAACAGATATCCGAATTGAAATCAATGCATTTTAAGCTTAGTTATGCTATTTGGAAAACTTAGATTTACCCATAATATTAGGAACTATAAAAATTGATTTAACATACCTAGAATACAGACATTTTAGGTTTTCTTGGTGATATAAGAAGTCTAGAAACCCTTTGATTGCCAAAAGAGATATATATATATATACAATATATTTTGGTTTGCAATAAAATTCTTAATAAATAAAGAATAAAACATTCAAAAAGAACAATCGCCAAAATATTTTCCTGCATTTTTCAAAGTTGTGTAAGAGGTAACATTATTAAAATAGCAAAAAAAATTACTTACTTAGTTTGATTTTACCTTGTTCCCAATTAAAAAATACCAATGCATACTTTAAATGCTTAATATATGTATGTATGTGATAGTAAATACAAGGGATAAACCTATGGCATTGCTATATCATTGACCCTACCCTTCTTAGCCTCCTAATCAATGCCAAGCTGACCGGGCACAAAGCCTGGCTGACAATTCAATAATCATTACGAGTCCATGTGAGTCCTGGTTTGCCCTACCTGCAATGGCACTGGCACTTGCACTCCGCTCCGAACGCTGCACCAGGATTACGGAAATTGAATTGGTTGCTGCTGGTCTCTCGGACACTGCCCCCAATGCGGGCTATTTAAATACCGAAAATATGAAAATAAAGGCAGATCCTAAAACGAGTGTCACTGGCATTCCATTCTATTCTCTCTCTGTGCTTTTATTTCTGGTTGCAGGAATAATCGTAGAGCAAATAAATTGCAGAAATGCGCAATTGTTTGCCGTTAGCCATAAGCAAATGCAATTAAATTTGTAAAATTACGCAGCCACAGATGCTCGTGTGTGTGTGTTTATGCGTCGCCATTGATTAGCCAGGTTTTGTGTGTGCCTCTTCTTATTTATAATTGATTGCATTCAGCATAGGAATTGGAATTGAATGGACAATGGTCACCAGTCTCCCTCTGTTCCCTGTCCTCTGCCCAAAAAAAACTATCTAAATCAAGAATGCGCTTCACTGGCATCACTCATACGCAGTGTTGCCTCACAGAGAGCGTCATGGGAGATGCAAAAGAAAATGTCATAAATGCCAGAGCAGCACACAAATGACTCGTTTGGGAAGACTCCTTGTCATGGACACACCACTGGGTAAGAACTCTTTTATGATGCCCAAGATATAGAAGTTATTCAATATATATTATTTTGTCAAGGAATATAAGCTACATAAAGTCATAATTATATAGTTCCACAAATGAAGTTGAAGTTATATCTAATTAAATGTAGATAATATTTGCACTAATATAATCACTATTTGGGCTCTGTATCTCGTTTGGTAATTCCTTCTTCGTTCTTTCTGCAATTTTTGAGGAGGAAGAAAATGCAAAACAAAGAAAGTCTGGTGCCAGCTGGGGGCAGGGGTATCTGCAGTGCTCGTGGCAGAACTGTGAGCATTTCGGGCTCATTAAATCCAATGTTTTAATCACGCCAGAAACAGAGATAGAGAGATACAGGTGGAGGGAACGAGGGCGAGGCCACACACACATCAGTCGCATCAGGGCAGCCACACGGCTGCATAATGGAATTGTATTTAGTCTGCCGCTCTTTCCGGCATTTTTCGCCCGTATTTGTTTAGCTGGAAAAGCAAGAGCAGCAGGAGGAGGACGAGGAGGAGCTTCTCCACTCCGCTCCACTCTGCTCCCATTTGATTCGTTGCCATGTGAAACTCAGACGCGGACGCGGACCCGGGCGGGGGGCAAATCCATCGAGTGGCACGTATTTTTATGGCAATTCGGTTCGCATCGCCAGCGAATATATTACGCGGGCTTCCGCCCCAGAGTGTGAACTGATATTGACCGAAAATACCCACCACTTGACCCATTCGAACAGATTCACTTTCTGGTTAAAATAATCCAGAAGCCATGACCCTTGGAAATGTTTTTGTTTAGTTCCTCAAATAGTTTTCTAACTATATTTGTGAGAAAAACTGATAACCTGAAGATTCTCTTGGAGGTTTAAGATTTACCATAAATGAATTATTGTTTTGTTGGCTTTTTGGCAATTTTATGCTCTCAATAGTTGAATTTGTTTAATCGATATTTGTTGATAATTTAAATGCTTAATTCAATATTTAAAAAAACTATAATTCAGTCAAAAAAGCTTTAATTTCAATTCGGAAAACAATTCTGTGCTAGTTTTTATTAGGTTAATAAATCTGCATGCTCAATATACAATGTTAAACAATTTAAATTTTTGGCCATTTTTTTTTTTAATTTTAACGATGAAACCCCTTATCTTTTATGAAAAAAATCGAAAAATATTTTTTTCGCCCGAACATGCCTAGATCAATTCTCCTGTTAATGCTGATCAAGAATATATATGATTTATGGGGTCGGAAATGGCTCCTTCACTATATTTTAAGCTTTTGATTAAAATGACAATACCCTGAAAAGGGTATTAGTTAATTTAGCTAGTAAGTATTAATTATAATTCCAAAATCCTTTTAAGAACTCTCTCTCCTTACTTTTTCTTAACAATTGCATTTAAAATATGCCATAGAATGTGATTCTATTCAACGTTTTCGGCTATTTATTTAAAACTAAACAATGGCGGGCAAGGGAACTTCTCTCTTGGTGGCTTGTGGCTTGCCAGTGGACAATCTGAATACATTAGGCAGTATGCCCGGAAAACTAAATGCTGAAAACTGAACGGTGAAAACTTAACAACAATGGCATTTTCCTCCTCTCTTGAAACTTGTTTGCTTTCCGCTTGGCACAAATAATAAATAACAAATTCCGTTTCAACTTCCAGGCCAAAGAGAAACTTTTCCCCCTCGCGTTCTGGTATATTTTCTCTTGAGGGAAATTTACATTGGAATGGCGGCCTATATAAGCTTGGTGCCAGCGACGCTCGCGTCACAACGACGTCGCCGCGGAAAACGGAAAAACCATTTTCTGATAGGGAAAACTCGACGCACGAGTACGTAAGGGCGACGTACGAGAAACGACGTAAAGTGTATGTTACGGTTTCTCGCGCGCGATCTTTTCTAACGGCTTGCTTTTCTGTGATTGTGTGTGTGGGTGCATTTTATTTTTTTCTCTTTCTTTTTGTGTGCCTTCTCTCTCTTTATCTATATATATTTATATATACATATATCGCTCTTGACTGTGCCGTTATTCACACAAAATTGGAAGTACCAAAGGACGCTTCACATTTGAATGGGCATCTTCGACACATGACCCTGTCCGTGCGGCTCGCCAACGAACGTGCTTCCTGTCGACACATAGACAATACTCCCAGTTATAGTACCCTGTAGTTCCAGCTAATACGATCCGCACACTGTGCGCAAATAAGGGGAAAGTATTAAGTATACGCAGGAAAATATCTTAAGTTGGAAAAGAAAAATTTTATAGCATACTTTTCAACGCACATTTGAGAAATTTTTGAGACTTCAGGGATTTCTATTAATCTTCTTCCTAAATGATTAAGTAAAGTAAAGTTGAGAACAAATTCAGTTATTCAATAAACCCAATAAAAGCTTGGTTCATTTCAATTTATAAAATAATATAAAGTTATCAGTGGAATTTCCAAATCTAGTGAAAACCTTTTAAAAATATATAAAGACAGGAGATTAATAACTAAATTTTTTTCTCGTTTCCTGTAGATTGTAATATTTAAATACTAGTTTTAATGCCCAGCAAGCCATATTCAAAAAATAAATAATAATAATTACTTCTAGAGCTCAAAGATTAACCTATATGAGGTTTATAACTTTCAAATTTAAATGGGTAGTTTTATAGTAGTTTTCCCCTTGGCCATATATTGGCCAGGTTTTTTCTATCTGCACCAGGCACGAATCGAGCTGGCCCATTTAATTGTGCTCCCTGGCCGCACAGCTAGGAGTGGCACTGGGATGAGGACGAAGCTCCGGATGAGAATGAGGATGTAGAAATAGAAGTAGAATGGCACTTCACTTCGATTCAATTCGATTTGGCGTAATGAAGCAAGTCCACGACATCCCTCCATGCAATAGTTAACATATTTTATGGCCTGTTGTCGCCAAAGTGTCCTCTTCTCCCCAGCACCAGCACCAACCCCAGCCCCATCCGCATCCACATCCTCATCCGCCTTAGCATCCGTTTGCCCCATTCCCCGAACACTGCTATCTCCGGAGCTTCGGTTTCAAGTGTCATTGGAGCCTGGGAGCTTCTCTGGATTGCTCACTTGATGGCCAAGTGGCCGGAGGGGTTGGCATTAGAGCTGGCCACCCGGTTTACTGTTTGCGCTCTTGCGTGGCCAACAAGTGTGGGGATTAGGGATTGGTATTGGGAGGTGAAGTGGGAGTGTTTAGGTTTGGGTTTGGGTTTGGGTTTGGGTTTGGGTTTGGGTTTGGGTTTGGGTTTGGGTTGACGAGGTCAAGAGCCGGTCCAGCTTAGGGTTTTCCGACAGAGAGAGAGATAGAAAGAGAGAGGGAGAGGGAGGCACAGCTTACATCATATTTTGAGGCCCTAAAATGTCATGTTTTTTAACGCACATCAACTATAGCTCCTGCTCCTTCTAGCCTCCAAAGTTTAAACTCTTAGGACTATTAAGGACTTCCATTTCTCTCCGGAGACTGATAACAATTAGCGTCGCCAACTTGGGCAAAGGCTATACATTATTTTTAGTAGTCGCAATCACGGCTGCTGCCAGAAAGAACAACTTGCCAGGGTAGGAGGTGGCGGCAAATAAATCAAAGAGGGAGATGCGCATTTAATTAAAAAAGTTGCCCCATTCGGTAATTAGGGAAGTCAGTACCTATACATAACGACCGAGAAAGCAGTAAAAGTATTTCAATTTATGTTTTTTATGCATACAATTTCCAGCTTTTAGAACTGTGTTCCCTTTAAAGGACACAGAGATTTGCCACAATAAAATCCTGGCTGTCGGAATCCCCAATGGAATTGAGGCAGGCGCGGAAGCTTCATTAGGGTCACGCTTGGCAATCAATCGTGGTTGGTCAAACTTTCACACACAGCACACACAGCACACACAGCACAGCTCGCACACACGCACTCGCGCACACACATACGCGGCGCCTGGCAAAGTGATTCATTAAAGCAATTAGCAGACAGGCCGGGCAGGATCCTGCGGCCAAGCGCGGCACTCAGGACAAACATTTAGCAAACACTTCTCTTGCAGACAGCCGAGTGGAGTCCGGGAGGAGGCACAGGACACGCACGCTCGCTCGCTCCAGAGGAGGGACTACCAAATGCTCATTGGAATTTATGATTATGCTGCAAAATTATTAAACAATATGACCGCAACAGGAGCCACAGGAGGAGGAGCAGCCACCGACATTAACAAGGAGTCCGCAGGGAGTGCGCTGCTGGAGCAGGACCAGCAGCACGACCAGGATCTGGAGCATGAGAATGAGCAGCATGAGCAGCATGAGCAGCACCAACAGCAGCAGCAGGAGCCCAGCAAAACTCCTACTCCTGGCGGTAATCTAACGACCAAGCTGCTGCAGGCCACTAGCCGCGCCCTCGCCCAACACGTGCCCGCCCTGCCCATGTCCCTCTCCCTGCCGCCCCTGCCCGCCCTATTGCTCCAGGCCCTAGACGCCGCGGACGTGGCGCATGGCCAGCGCATCGATCATCTGACCCGTGGCCCAACCACGACCATGACAACGATGACAACAACCACGACGGAAGGTCTGCCGCCGAGCTTGCTCGACGCGCTGCCGACAACAACATCGTCGCTTTTGGGCAATGCCACCGCCACCACCGTCGCCGTCGGCGGCAGTCCCCTCTCGGAGAACAGCACGGACGTGGTCTACAGCGCCTTTGGGGCCATGCCTGCGGGCAATCTTAGCGGTTTCATCGAGTCCTCGACCACGGCAGCCAGCTCCGTGCTAAGCAGCGCCGTCACCACGCTCCCAACGCTGCCCGCCACCAGCAGCATGGCGGCCACCTTTCAGGCCCAGACAGTGGCCACCTTTATAGCGGCCACCGGAGGCAAGAATCGTCCAACGACCATCGTTGTCTACCCAACGGGTGAGTTTGTAGTCCAGAGTTAAGTTCTTATTTAGGAAAAGGGAAGAAAGGGATGTTTGCAGTCCACAAGGGAACTAAGTTGCCTCAGGGATATATAGATATATGTATATCTATTCCTGATTCTTTTGGTTCCATATATCAATCTATATAGATTTATCGCACATTATTGGCTTGTAAGTCCTCTTTCCACTAGAAATCCCAGTGGGTCTTTTCATTAAAAATAAATTAAATGATAAATTCCCAAGTGGGAACACACAATAAACTTAATTAGTTAGGTTCCAGAAGAGTCCGATTGCGGCAATAAATATTTAGTTTACATTATAGATTTTAAGCATAAAATATTTCTTAAAAACCCCAATCCAATATCTCTTGATCATTGTGTGAAAAATATAAAAACAAATACATTTATTAACTAATCGAATTGAACCCGGTTTGTTATATTAAACAGCCTAACTTTCTTGCCTGCAATTTAATTAATTAATTAAAAAAAAACAAAACCAATGCTTTTGCCGTAACAAATTGGCAATTTATCAAAGAAATTTTCAACTAATGTGAGCATTAAAAATTCATCGGATGCCGCGAATGTTCATTTGACAAGCTAATGGCTTAATTCAACTAAATTTATGCTACTAAAGGGGGATATATATTTATGTATAAAGCTGAGGGGATTTATTAACGAATTACATAGTAAATAAATAATATTCTCAAACATGATAGGGTCTGGAAAAAAGGGATATATCACCCCTTAAGCCCATAAGCTGGCTTATTGTGACAAAAAGGGACTTCCCTCCGTAATGGCCCTAAGTTAATTAGGAGAGCGTTTGCAGGATGAATGGAACTCCGACTCCCGGACTGTCAATAATCAAATCAGTGCAGTCAGTCGGGAGTCGCGTGCCAGGCCAGGATCTCCAGAAGTCCACATCTCCAACTCCCAATTAGTTTGCCTCGTTGCCCGGCATTAATTTGCATGAGCTGACACCCGCGAGTCCTCATTATCCGCATCGACTCCCGACTCCAGCTGCCGCATCAACTTATTTTTTATAGTTTCTCAGGCAGGGCAAACTTTGGCGGGGTCTCGCACCCTCCTTGGCCCCTCCTTCCTCCAGGCTTAGGCCAATCCGGAAAGTTGCTCCGGCAAAACGTCCTCATCCTGCTCAGCAATTAGACAAGTCTAAGTCGCAGTAATTGCAAAGAGTCGCACTCGACTGTAGCTGTTGATTGTTCGAGGCAAGTGTTGCCTGACACTTTCGGAGGGGGGAATTGGAATCGGCAGGCATCGAGTTGGGATTGAGGGAGGAAGGTCTCTGGCCTCCACTCCAGCTGGCGCCAGAGTCGCAGGGTTGCCCCAAGCCTCTTACAAATTAGAGCCTTTAAGGCTGCGGGGCTGTCGTCTTTATTAAGGATACCCGTGTGCCCGTGTACCCGTACTCCTGCTCCTTCCTCCTATCTCCGCCTTCGAAAAAAACTTGACGACAACATTGTCGGCTCATCCTTCCAGAGCCAGAGTCTGAGACTAAGGGTTCTCACCCCGGGCAGCTTCCACTCCAATCGCTTGTATCTCCCGGCATCGACATCAATGTCAGCGTCCTGAATGGCCTGTGGGCGTGGCCCCTCCTTCTCCTCCTTTGCTCAACACCAGAGAGAACTTTTCGACAGGGATGTCAAAAAAAAGAATACAAAAAGGGGAAGAGAGAAAAGGAAAACAAAAAAAAAAAAAATAACTTGGCCGTTACAGAGTGCTCGTCCCTTTCTACCAAACAAAAAGTGCGTAAATTCATCCGATAAAATGGTGTAACAGGAATGCGATGTCCTTCAGCTCCATTGATAAGTTAACAATGCATTCTACTTAGCGGAACACTCGATTTGCTGCCAGTTCTATACCCTGAATAAGGGTACAAGGACAAGGACCAGGAAATAAGGGTCCTATTTATAGGAAGAGTATCCTTTAAAGAAAAATATATATTTCAGGACTGAGTGCAAGTGAGATCTTAGTTTGATCTCTTATTGGTTGGAATCTTGCCTTTATCTTTGTGATAAATACAAGCCAGCCTTGTTCCAAGTGTCCTTTGTCAACCGCAGGACACACACAAACGGCGACTTTGATCTAGAACGGGAATTGAGAACTTTGTTCCGATTGGAAAGCCCAGAAGCTAAACTGAAACTACAACTTTTGAGACTCCAACTACCAAACTCCTATTCCATGTGTCGGGAGCACTGACTGCAAAATGCCTGCCTGCGGTTGTTCCGGCAACTTTAGGCATCCAGCCAATGACTTCAAAGTCCATCAGTCCATGCCCACGCCGCCCTGTCATCCCTAAGTCGCCTCCAGTTGGACCGCAATCAAGCTCTGAGCTGACTTTGATGGGAATATTTCGAACTGGAGAAGTCACTTTAGGCTACAATATGGGGAGAAGGCGGTGTATATAGTAGTAGAAATGCCTATTGTCAGTCGCGAACACGGAAAGAAAAGTCACACCAAGGTAATGTAAATGGTACTAATCAACCTATCAAAGAAATATATGTTTCCTTATATGATTTAGCAATTCCCACAAATGTAATAAAGTTCTGAAAACTTTCTAGCTGAACTTATCTCAGCTCCACACTTTTTAAAATATATTGCTAATTGAATGAAAATTTAAAATTGAACAAATATTTCGTTCTGTGTACTTACTGACATATATGTAAATTATATGTACATATATTGGAACTGAACTGAACGCAGATATATATATGTACATATACGTATATATATTGCCTCTTCTGACGATGGGTATTGTGGTTGTTGTTGCCCCTCCTCTACTCGTTGTTGCTGAGATGCCTTTGTAGCGCATTCCACTGTCGACGTCAAATATGCAAACATTCAATTCTCATTCAAAGGCATCGGAGATGGGCGGGCGTCTGTCTGAGCCGAGAGAGGAGGGTGGCCGGGGTACAAAGGCATTATTTTTATTGTATTTATTGAATATTTCCAAGCATCAAACGATGCCTGATGAGTCAGCTTGAATGGCGGCCGAGGCGGGCTCCTCCAGATGCTGCTCCTCCTCCTTGCAAACTAATGCCCAGCGAGGACTCTGGACTCTGGACCGACTACATGGACTCCCTGCCTCTCCCTTGGTGCCATCAATTTGTGTAAATTTGAACTGTCACTTTGAAGGCGTTAATTGGATTCAGTGGCGCTGCCTCTCAAGGGTTGGAGGTCCTTCTTGCGTCCCGCTGGTGCTTTTACTGCTCCACCAGCTGCTCCTTTCAAAAAAAAATAAATAAAGTTAAGTAAACCCAGTTGAGGCTCTGATAAAGCCGGAGAAAATATTTGGTGACTGCGCCCCCCGATCGAACTGGGATTTAATCGAATAATGTCAGGCAGGCAGAGCCAACGTCAAGTACTACAGGATCTAAGTCAGGCAGGAGCGGCGTTGAGCTGTCTGGGTTCACACAGATAGCAGGGAAATAACTTTGCAACTGCTGATGCAGAATAATCACTTAACTGGGCAATACCAGGACTTGTACAAGCATTAAAAATACAACTAATCATCTTTAAGTTCAAACCTTAAATCAAATCTGGTTACTAATTTGATTTAACCCATCAATTTATGTGTAATTAATTCTAAAGACTTTCGATGTAAGGCTTTAATTTAAAATTCAACCCTTCATTTAGACCTCATTTGTGATTCCCTGTGAGGCCTTTTAGAGTATGTCCACTTCGGCTCTGTGTCTGTCTTTGGCTCTCTGTTTGCGAATTCGTCGTTTCCTTGTTGCTACTTTTTTGGGACAAACAACATTTGGGCCATGGATTTTTGTGGCTTAGATTAGGGCATCCGCATGGCAAGGACGACAACGACGATGAAGATGGGAGGTGGCAACTGCCATTTGTAATGGATGTGGTGTGGAGTGGAGTGAAGGATGGTAAATAAGGTCGTTGTTGGGGGACCTCAAAAAAAAATAAATAAAAATAAATAAAAGGAATCTCAGTAATAGGAGATCCTGCCTGGCCAGATATGCAAAACGACTAAAAATTGAAACCATACCGACTTTGGAATGGGTCAGAGGAGCTGCTCTTGACTCTTGACCCCTTTAGAGATCTCAGATGGTTTTTCCGCCTTGTAAACAACCTTAAATCCGTTAGAAAATCAGAAATGCAAAGAAATCAATCATTTGTTGTAGTATTTCAGGGACTACTGATATATGCTGCTAAAGGGAAAATAGGTCCCAAAGAGGGTTAAGAAGGAGCAGCAGGAGGCAGACTTCATGACTGAGGGCCGAAATTAAAAAGCCAAACGAATCGTGAACGAAGGGAAATGCAAATGGCGCGAACGGAATGCGCCCCAAAGCCGTTTGGCCTACGAGCTCCCATACCCAGTGGCATCGTGGCCTGTGCTTATCCTCATCCCCGTGCTTTTCCGCGTCGCGTCACCCCTTCTTCATTCTGGCTCCTGCTGCTCCTGGCTTCTCCTTCCTCTGAGGCTGTTTGCCTGCCGCCTGCCTGTGTAGATAAGTGTTGCCTACTTTCGGCCGAATTTGAGGCCATGCAAATGAACCGGAGATGAGCTCCGGAATTATGAGCTATAAGTCCGTCTCTCTGGCATTCTATCCTCCCTTTCTCTCTGTCGATAAAATAAACATATAAATAAATAATCTTGGCCCCCAACAAACTGATGATGGCATTTCTGTGGCTGACCACAGCAATTAGGCAAATATGTTCGCAGTACCATGCCCCACGGGTTGTTGACAGAGAGAGCCGCGTCGGGAGCGATTAACATTCATGCAACATTTGGCATGGCCATTTCAAAGGGGGTGGTCTGGGTCAAGTGGCAGCAGTCGGTGGAGGTTGCAGAGTTCATAAATTTGGGTTAAAGTATTCGCGATGGGTTGGGCTTGATAAAGTCAGGTGTGCTCTTGGAAAAGGTCGTTGTCTACAAGCTGACTTAAATGTAAGATATATGTCGGAGATAAGTTCTTGCCCTTTAACCTCTCTTACGCTTTGCCAGCAACAAATTGTTCAAAGATAAAGACAGGACACCCAAACGTTGGGTGTACTCCAACGTAATTGTTGTAATTAAATAAGTTAACAGGGGGTTGCCTTGGTGTTGTAAAACATAAACTGGATAAAGATAATGAGGGGGAAATGTAGCAATAAGGAAAATGTAAATTTCCCATAGTTTAATTATAAATTATATTATGTATAGGGTATAGAAGCGTGCGAAGCTCTTGTCTGAAGCTTAATATATTCCCAGTTTGAAGAAATCATATAATAAACAAAAATATAAATATTATTAATAATTATTAATAACTAATAAATACCCTATCATTCTATTTCTCTTTTCTCCCTCTCTCTGTCTTACAGTTTCACCCGAATCGATCGTTATCCCGATCGTGTCCTGCATCTTCGGCTTTCCCATCCTGGCACTCATCGTAATCTGCTGCCTACGCCGGCGGGCCAAGCTGGCCCGGGAGCGGGACAGGAGGCGGAACTATGACATGCAGGACCATGCCGTCAGCCTGGTCAGATTTAGTCCAATACATAGGCTTAGTGAGTTTGCGTGTTGTGTAATGTGTGTACGAACGTTTCTATGCTCTTTCTCGTTTCTTCCTGGTTTCGGTTTCGGTTCTGGTCCTCGTCCTGGTCCTGGTTCTCCATGGCTTTCCAGCCTGAAGCGGATCGAGTGACTGGTCCGCATTTCATGAACAAAGTCCAGAGACTATATCAAGTGCATCTCAACATCAACTCGGCATCAGTTCATCCGCATCCCATACCATCTGCACTTGCACCCTTAGCTCCCTCGCTCTCTCCCACTATCCATTGATGACTCGCTGCCATCTTGCACCTGCCATGCCTCTCACTTTTCCTCTCTTGATGTGTGCCATGCCGTAGTCATTAACTCACTTGTCGGCCATTGTTCCACCTGCCTGCATGAGGGGAATTTTAAATTCACAAACAATTCACAAAAAACGAAAAACGAAAAGAAACTCACAGAATTTCACACAAAAAGATAACAAAGAGCCCATGGCCGCCACCGTTGCCGCATCATCAACATCATAATCATTGTTCTTCAAGTGCCCGCATCTCCGAAATGGTTTCCCGCTTCCCGAATCCCGCATCCTTCAATCCTCAGCTGAATTGGCTGGCATTGTCAATGGCCATGTTGCCAACTCGGTTGCAGAATCAATTACAAATCCGTTCCAAGCCAAGCCGAGCCCCGAGATCCTGCAGGATAGCATCTGCCCGTTACGACTTAGTGGCCCCAAGGAGCATTGAAAGAAATAAGCTTGAGAAAAGTTATATATATATTCATGATATATATATACATAAATTGGGTGACTTAATCAAATTTCAGACCCATCATAACTAAGACAAAAGTGCAATAAATTCAATTCTGAAAACAGTTTTGAGCTAGTTTTCATCAGGGTAATAAATCCTCATACTTATTTTTACTTTTTCAAAATTTACAATTTTCAATGAATTTTTGAAAATTTTAACGATGTAACCCCTTCAAAAATTTAAAAAAAAAAAGAAAAAAAAAGTTCCTTCCGAACATGGCCAGATCGATTCGGCTTTTGATGCTGATCAAGAATATATATGATTTATAGGGTCGGAAATGACCCCTTCACTATAATTTATGCTTATGCCTAAAATTATAATACCCAGGCGAATGGTTTAGTTATAACTTATGAAATCCTTAATTTGAAATATACAAAGATAATTAGACGATTTTAATTCAATAATACTGTGAAGAATCCTTTTTTAAACCCATATTAAAAGTACATAAACATATCTTTTATTATGTGACTGCAATAACACACACCCATCGCCCACTTTCTGGAGAATGTAACCAATGGTATTTTGGTATATATTTAATTATTTACAAATCCAGGGGGCTTTTTCGCTCAGTGCCACCTTGCATTGTGGCTGCCCTCCTTCTACCCATGGGGGGAAAAGCGGGCAAAGAATTGTTGGGGAAGAAGGGGAGTGCAAGAGTCCGAATAACGGCAACAGCCACTGTTGCCAGCCACTCAATAAAGCAGAGCACCGCGCACACCACATATATGTGTATGTGTGGGAGAGCGCATAGGTGCGTGCGTGTGTGAGCTGCTTTGTGTGTCAAACGCAGTGGGGACGGGGGCAGCAGGAGTGCCTGCATTCGGATTTGCATTGCATACCTTTGGGCGCTAGCTGCCCTCGTTTGCATATCTCAAAAACGAATGCAAAAAGGCTGCTAGAAGGGGGCGTATAAAAAACTAAGGGGTAACTGGGAGCCAGTTCGTCTGCTTGGCATTGCCACAAGCCAGGTCTTGGTCCTAACCTCCTGCAGCTCCGCCCAGCAGCTAGGCTGCTAAGACCTCGTTTCTACTAAGACCACATTTTGGCTAAAATGTAGCAGCTTTCCTTTGGAAATGGTGACAAAGAGCTGCGTTAAAAAATAATATATGCATATTAAAATCACCTATACAGATGTTACTTTCTTCCCCAAAATAATTAGATGCGTAACGTCCATGCATTTGAATTCAGTTAGGAACGAAATTCGCTTCCATGCACAAGCACAAAGTTGAGGGTATCCTTGAAAAAAAAAAGGATACATGCGGGCAGATCTAAAATGCTTAAGAGTTTTTTATTATAAGGAAGAAAACGTCATAGTTGGAACTTCTCTGATAAGTTTCAACTTAAGTAAGCGGCTATAGGAAGCTCTAAACAACAATTTCAGTTAGTTACTAGTCCTGTTTCATTCAGGATAAAACACCAATGGAACAAGGATATCTGTATGTGAGCCAGAGTTCCACAAATATCACTTAGTTTGAATTGGCACTTCCAGCCCTTCGTCAACCCGTTTTCCCTAACCACAGCCACAAAACAAAACCCGGCAGCCGCAAACTACACTTGTTTTCGGTTGCGTCACTTCTTGGCCCCAAAACAACACGAATTTCCTGTGGCCTGGTTCCTCCCCCTGGTCCGTTTGCACGCCCTGTTTGCACACATATTCGCAAAACAATTACGCCCTTGGTGCTCCCCTATTTCTCTTGAAGCGACTTTACCCCAAGTCGAATTTAGCTTGCACCTTTACGTGGGTAACCTGGAATTGTTTAGGGGTTCGGTCAAAAGGGTTGCAGATTGAGTTAATCAAAGGAGATTTTATATTCCTGCAAGTTCTCTGAGAAAGTTCCGTTGCCTTCCCTACCGTTAATCCTATTAAATTCGCTCCAAACTAATTCTACCCTATCCTATTCCTGCATTCTTTCATATCATTTCGGTTCTGGGTCGCTCACCTCTTGCACGTTTTCAATTTGTCACCTTCAGTATCGCCCCCAACCACACACCACCGTCTCAATATCCACAAGAAGAAGCCTAGACTGTAGACTAATAGACACTATTTTTCTCTCTTCCCTATACACAAAAAAAAATCCATCCATAGATTACCGATCGTCGCGAGCTATCAGTCTACGTCCTGAACGAAGCCTAAGCCAGGGCTTCACTTCGCTGGAGCTGGACACCGTGCTGGAGGAGCGCTGCAGCGATGTAGAGCAGACGCAGACCGAGATCCTTAATCCTGAATCGCCCATGGACACCGCCTCCTACAAGATGTCCTTCTCCTCGAGCTAACAGTTAGCCAAGCAGCAGCAGCAACAGCAGCTGGAACAGGCAGCTCCTTCCCTGCTTGCTCAGTCGGTGCCCCAAGTGAAGGAGCAAGAGCTACAGGAGCATGAGCAGGAGCAGATGAAGGTGAGGGTGAAGGTACCGCCGCTAAGCAAGTCCCCGCAGCTGTTGCAGCCACCGCAGCTGCGAAAAACGGCCAGCGTGAGAGACGATCCCTCAGCTCTGGCCAAGAGGAGGAGTCGCCTCCACGAGCTAAGGGCCGCCAGCAGCAGCAGCAGCGGTGGAGGAGGAGGAAACGAGGCAGCTGCCGCTTTTACGAAGCGCGAATCCAAACGGGATCGGCGAAGAGCTCTCGATCGAGGAGCGAGCAGCAGCAGCGGCAGCGGCGGCACCGGCGAATCTCCGGCCATGCGCAAGTCACATTCGCTGGACGCCGCTGAGAGCTACTCGCTGGCCAGTATCCAGGCGCCGCTCTGGGTGACCCTTACCAATGCCCGGACCATAGAGGAGCTGGCCCAGCAAAAGCTGTGAGGAGCTGCCTCTGCCTCTGCCTGCATGGCACCTGCCCACCAGAAGCGTTTGTTAACTACTCATCTCGCCCCCAGGAGCGGAGTCCATGCTCCATCCCCATAGAGAACCTGTAAATGTTTAGATGGAATTCGAATTAGCAGCATTACTAACATAAAACAACGTCTTTGCCGTCAATTCCTGCACCAATCATCACCGAAGTTCCAGTTTTGCGACATGGCCAGCTGAACTCGGTTTGGACTTGTTGCAGGAACCGGAAGTCGTACTGGAGTGGCATCATTACCTAATGCTAAATCAATTTAATGCAATTAAAGACCAAAAGTAATAGTCCAACAAATAAAATCAAATTGTAAAAACTGTAATTAATTAATTTTCTGCGGGGCTAAGAAGAGCCAAATTGTAAGTAGAAAGTGTGATCAAACCTAAACAAAACATAATTTAAGTGGGATATTTATCTGCATTTGATATGTGGAAAAGTTTTTTGGTTATTCCAAACACTGTTCCATATTTGAGTATGTTTCTTTTTCTTGTTTTATTTAAATTATCATGTATACATAAGGAGAGCTTAAAATACAAGTTTAATTTCTTTATCAAAATACATTGTTATACAATTTCCTTAGTTGTTGTCGCTAGCATGCATGCTGGATTTTATTTTTATATTGTTTTTGTTTTTTATTTTCGGTCAAGTTTAATCTGTTTGATTTTATTTATTGGTACCGCTAATAATCATTCTTCATTTTTCATTTAACTTCTTTTCTAATGTCTTCTCTTTGCTTGCCCCAATTGCCCGAACTTAGTTAATTATGGTTTTAGTTTTTAGTTGAGCTTTGCACACTGCGTTTAGTAATAGTTGTTTTTTATACTCATTTAGATATATATGTATATATATTTCCTTTTTGATCATTTGTAATATTAATTAATAGAAAAAAAATACTAACAAAGAGAAGAGGTTTGTCTTGGATATATCCGCGGATATTTCCCACATGTCTGCATGTATGTATATAGTATATAAAGAGGGCAACACTTGTCGCATATACACACTTACATAAAACTTGCATACAAATCGCGTATAATACAGTATGAAAAAACTGCGCTCGCTTCGCAGCTGTACATTTAACCCGTTAATTGCCTGCCAAGCTACGCACAACACTTAAAAACAATAGACGAAGAAACGAAAAAATTACACAGAATGGGGGGAAGAGGAGGAGGTACTTGTCTAGGCGAAGAGAGCAGCGAAAAGCACACGAACACAATTAAATATACAGCCCTCAATCTTCTATCTCTCTGTCTCTCTCATCTGCTCCTCTCCATCTCTCTCTCTCTCTCTCTGTCTGGTGGATAGTGTGGGTAGAAATAATACAAAAAAATAAAACCTAAACAAAATTGAACTATGAAACAATTGAAAGCACTTTGCCCTGTGTCCTAAATTGAGCGTGTGTGTGTGTTGTGTGTTGTGTATGTGTGGCGAACGCCGGATTTCTTTAGGATGTTTCCCCAAAAAAAAGTACTGAGAATTTTTAGGGGAAAGCTTTAACCACCTGAGAAATCCCTCAGCATAGGTCACTGTGTGTTGTGTGTGGTGTTTTGTGTGTCCTCTGTATGTGTCGTGTGTGCGTGGCCATTGGTCTGCGCATTGTCATCAGAGGGGGCAACTTCTTCAAATTTCTGGGTTGGAATAGGGACCTGCGGGGATTCTTCGGGTTAGGTTAGGAAGGTAGCTCGGTAAGAACAAAAAAAAAATAAAAAAATAAAAAAGATACATTTAAAAAGATCACTTCATGCTGTTGCCAGTCGTCTTTTTGAGCAGTTGGGTTTCGGAAGACTATGTGGATCTAAGTGATCTGGGGATATGTTATGGGACTTGGAACACATGGATCACAGTGCAGGAATATATCCTTCTTAAATACATCTTTCTTTAATAGGTTGAAACGGGGACACTTGACACAGTGCCCGCATGGTTGGTTTTTTGGGGAAGATCTATCGTATTTGCTTCTGCTATTGATGTTCCTTTCCGTTCCTTTTCTCCATTCCACATTGCTTTGCCGATGAAACTGACGCTCTGCTCTATATTCAGGGGTTTAATTGGTTAACATTGGTTGGTTGGTTGGTTGGTTGGTTGGTTGGTTGGTTGGATGGTTGGTTGGTTGGTTGGTTGGTTGGTTGGTTGGTAGGTTGTTGTTGCTGTCCGTCGATAGTATTGCTGATTTCAGCAAAATTCTTGCTTGCCACATTCTCCCGCGATCTCTCTACCCCTCGACGTCTCCGGCTATCATCTCCGCCTACATGTGTATCGTGGCCGCCGTATAGCGTGCCTCGCCACGTCGCCAAGACCACTGGCTGGGACGGAACTATGGGAAAATCAAAGTATTAGCAAGATCAGCAAGGAACAAAACAAAACAACATCGCTGAAATTTCTACATGAGGAAATAACTAGTTAAACTCTTCCTTTCTTTCAGAAATAAATAAAAGAACAAATCAAGTGGAGAGTGCGATCCTAGTAGAGATTACTGAGAAAGAGAGGCAACAAACCTGGTGCAAATGCTTGGACTGCATGTAATTGAAAGAAACGCACAGAATAACAATTGTGACTTCCAAGGTAGGAGAAGGACTTTGACTACACACTTACCTGGATGAGCAGCTGGCCGCTCTTCGTGTGTGGGTTTCGGTACGCATAGAAGAGCCACAGCGTCACGGCAAACACCAGACAGATGGGCACCATGAAGCCGAAGGCCACGCCTACGCTCTTATTATCCGCTCCCGCCTGCGACAACTCGGCATTTCCGCCGACCTTGCCATCCTTGTGAACACTGGCGGCAGCAGCATCCTCGGGCTTTGACTGGCCCGCGGAGGGCTGCGGCGCCCGAGTGCTTATCACTGTGGGCTCCGTTGCCGCCGGACTGCCAGTAGCCGCCGTGGAGGGATTTGTCGCATTGCTGACTCCACTTGTGTTGCCACCTGCTGCACCGTTCTTTTCCTGGGCAGCATTATTACCCTTCTCACCGAGCGCTGGGCAGGTCGTTGCGTTATGAAGGGCGGCAGTTTCGCATCCTGGAATTGAATTCAATTAAGTTAAGATAACCAGTGTCCAGTGGATATGCTAAGTCCGGAATCTTACCCTTTGTCATCCACTCATGCTTCTTGCGATCCGTGCCCGTGGAGCAGCGACTCAGCGCCGGGCACCAGAGGCACTGCAATATATATTATAACATAATTTAAGAAGCAGATGAAAGGAAGAAACACCTCTACTCACCGCAAATGTCGTGTTATGATTCAGACACGATTGGCAGTCATTAAAGCCCAAGCAGGTGGGCTGTGCAGTCAGCTTGATGATGGTAGAGTTGGTGATCTCCTGCTGCTGGACGGTAACGCGGTGGTACTCGTAGATGGTCTTTCGGCGGGTAACTGGAAAGGTTGTGGCACGACATGAATCCCAAATATACCAAGACAGAGTATATACTACTACTCACAATAGAGGTGCTTGTCGATTATATAGGCATCGGAGAGGCCCACCTTGACCGGATGCTTATGATCCTGGATGGAATTAATAAGTGTGGGCACTCGGAAGTATCCAAAAACGACGTCTCCGCTCTGATGCAGCGTCACGCTAAACGTAAACTTGCCAAACTCCGGCTTATCCTGCAGTGTCACATTCTCCCACACGGCGGTAAACGCGGTGCCTGAAAAGGAAACTTACTATTGAGACCTATATGTCTTCATTCAACTGGGAATTACACTCACCGTTATCTTGCACTCGGACAAACGAGTCGTTGGACATGCTCGTATCGAAGTTGGCCATTAGCGGGGCAATGTACTGGGTGGCCGCCAACCAGGAATGCACATACTCGCCGGTATAGAGGAAACCACCAGTGGCCACCGTGATATTCCGCACATAGTGGCCGTAGAAAGGAAAGTCAAAGTTCAGCTCGACGGTCATGGCACGACGGTGCGCCGAGGAGAGCATTACGTTCTCCGGCGTGTTTTTCAGTTGCGACCATAGAGCCTTTGCCTCCTCTTCGCTGACGTAGAGGACGCTGTTGTAATAGTCGTAAAAGTCCTCACTGCGCACCAGCGACTCGTTCTTAACCTTGCTTTCGATATCGTCATCAGGTATATCGACACCAGACACGTCCACGTCGATGGGAGCTGCCGTGCTGGTGCTGGGTGTCTGCGGGACAGCAGCCGAGCTGGGTGCCACCTTTTTGGGATAGCCACCAGACTGGGCGGCTAGCAGTTGGGTTGGCTTCTTGTAGTTAATGGCGGGGTTCAGGCCTGGAGCTGCTCCTTCAGCGCCCTGAACACTGTAGTCCTTACGCTGTCCGGTGCCGTTGGTGCCAACGTTATGCACATTATAGGAGACACTGCCGCCTGCCGCTGCCTTGCTGTCCACCGTGGTCACCGTAGTCTCGGCGGCCACAGTTCCAGCACCAGCTCCAGCTGCCGCTGTGACACTAGCATTAGAATTTACGCTCTGGTATTGGCTGGTACTGACTGGCGACGAAACATCCGCTGGAGCGGCTCGCCTTTGACGATGCACCTGATCCGTTGCCAGTTGCACTACATGGGGATCGGGATTGAGGTAGGGAAGCGCTGTATCGAATGTGTCATAAGAGTCTGCATCCGCTGTAAGAGAAAAACGAGAGAGGTTTTAGAGATTGACTTAGCTTGTTGATGAACCAAAGGCTTTTTGGGCTGTTGTAAGCGATAAGTGCCAGGGGTAACCTGGAACCAAGTGAGTCACTAAGTCCAACCAAGTCTTAAGCTAGTTTTAATCATTGCAGATCTTAATTTTCTTTTGAGAATTACTAACAAACTGTTCTGCAGCGAGAAATATTGGATTGTTTAATTGTTTAAAGCATTATTTGGGCTTCTAAACAATCCCGAAAATATTACCATGTCACGAAAAGCCAAATCTTGATATTTAAGCAATTATAACCGGGAGTGAAATAGCTGTACTGTTCCATGGATTCAAGATAAAAACATTCGGGTAATTACCTGTACTATATAAGAGAGATATTCTCTCCATTAAAAGCACAACTCTATTACTGCCCTTTTAAGCCCCTTGACCCTTGACTTGAAAATTAAAAGTAACATTGAACATTTAACAACATTCTGTATATAGGTATAATTGAATTAGTGGAGAGATTAAGCAGTAACAATCGCTGTGATGTGGCTACCAGATATATAGACCAAGGTACACTTATCCAAAGCTAGATTCTTGGGGTCATTGATAGCCTTTTGAGCTTTTTTGCAATCACATTCCATGTGTGTGTTGCGTTGTGTTGTGTTGTAATTAACCCAACTGTTATTTGAGGCCGCTCTCGATATTGATTTTCTATTTCCATCGTCATCCTCCTCTCCACTCCACATGTGCTTGGTACTTATAGTACTATATACAGTGTTTGTCGCTTGTCGCCTGTCGTTGTACAACCACCGCAATAATGGCACATCAAAGACCATTGTCGACAGCCCCACTGTAATTACAACAATTACAACATGCGGTCAGGTGGTTGAGTGGCAAGCGAGAGGTGCTGCCAAGAGGGTGTTGCCTCGCACACACACGCACACCCATAACCAAATGATATCTGTTACGATTGGGTCGCCCCATCAACAATAACAGGCACAACTGTTTATAAAATTCTGAACGATTTAATCCACAGTACACAATATTATTACAAATAATAAGGTTTTTAAGTTCCAAGTTTGTTTTTTGAATAGCAATAAAATCGAAAACATTATTCTTAAAAAACAATAAGCCCTGAACCGTGGTCAGCCATGTAATTAGCCGGAACACGCATAAATAGGCACAGATTGCGATTAAGTGACTTAATTTAGTCACTTTAAGAGCAATAATGTAGTCTTTGATACCCTTTTGATCCCGCACAATTTGAAATTCATACAAGTACAACATTTGACTGAGGAGACGGAGACATCTCGGCGGCATCGGTCGCCCGTGAGATACTCAATATGCTCCTTTTAGTGAGCGGCGCAAACACATAACAGATAATCGCTTAAAAATCGCGCCCCCTTGCATAATAATTATTTTCCTCTGCGGTCGCGGTCAAAATGAGTCAACTCTGAGGGTAATGATGGGGACACCATCTCGGGGCAGCAGCTAGAGCAGCGGGAACGGCACCTGAAGCAGCCCCCAGAGCCCAATCCAAAGATCGACGATCGACGCTATCTCGCGTGACGCCAGCCCGCTCCAATTGAACCCGATGTTAATTGTTGTAAATGACTTGGGTTTTGTTGTAGCCGTCGTTGTGGCTCCTCAAGCTCAGGGTTTCTGTTATGGCCACACGAGAGTAAAAAACAATTGGCGTAAATTTATGCGGCACTTGATTGAAAGAAGAATCGTTTCGAGAGAGAGAGAGCCAGGGGTTGCACAGATAAATGATACAATTTTTGGGAAAATTTGGAGATCATAAATATCACAACTTAACCATAACTAACACATTTTCTATTTCGATTCTAGCCAAAAACTAAGGGACTTTGTCTAGAGCCATAGAGTAAGCTAATCTTGGTATAAGTCTACAATTATTTTTCCCTGTGTGACTTTTTCCTTTGGGTTGCAAAGCCACTAACCTTTGCCGATCCCAAAAAATGAGAAATCCACAAGTGGGACGCACAATTTGCACAGTGACCCAGTTTCGAGAGATGTTCGTGAAGAGAGCATCTTTAATTGCCGCTTTTCGGGGTGAAATTGGTGCCACATAACAAGGTGTGAAGGACGAAAGACGAATCAATAAAATTCGATCGAGACCGATCGATCGATCGTATCATATATATTTTTGAATGCAAAACTATTCTGACGCATAGAGAAATATCATCGCAATTTGGTTAGATTAAATCAATTGCCTGGAATTGAACAGCAATTGCATGCTCAAGCTAAATTTCCCCCAAGTTATAAACAATGTATCAGTACAAATAAGCCTTACAAACAAAGTGATAATAAATAATACAAACATTTTTAATATATATGGAAATTGATTTCTTTATTATCAGTTTGACATAATAATGTTTCTGCTGCAAAAAAAAAAACTCGGAAAGCCCTGATTATTGACATTGGAATTTTTAATTTGAATTTTAATTAGTCATGAACTTGAGTAGAAACTATTTGATATAAAAATAAACAAAGAACCAACTGATATGAAATTGCAACGGAATTTCTGTGAAAAGAAATCTTTTTTTTTTGCAAATTTTATTTTATTTTTCATTCCCTATTGGTTACTTTCTCATTCCCTTTCCTATTTGTGTATTTGTTTCACATTCCTTATCGCAAGACGGCTCTTATTCAGCTATTGTTCATTTGGTTATCAAGAATAAACCAATATACTGTGTATATGGGAAAAATAAATATATTTTTAATAGCTGGTTTAAATTCTTTTTTTTTAGTTTGTGTTTTGCATATAATATTACAAAAATTATATAAATTTATAGAATATTTGAGTCTAAAGCCCCTATGAAAACTATATATTTTGCTAAATTCTTTAAAGGCTAGTAATTGAAGCATCTTCAAATTGTCTGTCTCATGTTCTACTTCATATTCAGTCTAATTATATAAATATATTTCTTGTGAAATGTATACATTTATAGTTGCATATATAGCTTGTTGTCATTAGCGAGATAACAAGCAACAGGGTGCTTCATGTTTAATTATTTTAGATCACATTTTTATTTTTTTTTATATTTTATTTTTTATGTTATATAAGTACTAAGCGTATTTGTCTCGCCCACAAATTAGCAATACCTGAGTTTATCAGTGCTGTTTTTCTCCCCCAGTAAGTCAACGCTAAAAACAACTGGCAATTTGCGTCGCACGCTTTTTATCTAAACTTGACAAACACCCAGCACGCAGCACCAGCTCCACCTCCTCCTGCTCCTCCTGCTGCTCATCTGATGTGCACTTGTATTCCCTGGCTGGACTGGCTGACTGCACCGGACAAATGTAGCCAAAGTGGCAACACATTAACAGTTCTTGGAACACCGTTAGGCGGAAAAGCTTATCGCTAGATCGCTGACGGCGGGGCAAACAAGGGCAGGTCCGCCGGCCGTGGCTCTTTTTCTCCCAAGAAACGAGAACCATCGTCAAGATGACGATGATGATGATTATCTGGGACTAATGATCTGCCCATGGCCAAGAGATACAGTGACAAACGATGCATTTGTCGAGATCACAGAAGCGCATATCTTGCAAATCTTGTGGCCACAATGGGGCATAGTTGTCTCTGCTCAAAAATAATAAAAAAGGGAAAGAAAACAAAGCCACCATGACTAATAATAATGGGGTCATTCAATGGAAGATGAATAGAGTTGAGACTTCTCCAACTTGAACTTCCGTATAATGTTGTCTATTCTATGACATGAACTTTATACTGTGAGTGTATATGTAGAGCCCCAAGCATTGCTGCTTCTACAGTTCCAATTTCACAACTCATATTTCTATGGTAATTTGTGCCCTAAATATATTTAATTACATTAGGGTTTAGTTCGGATAATGGAATTTCTGTAATGTATTCCAGATAATGGAATATTTCTTTAAAATATATATAAAGACCAATGAGAAGCTAAAATTTGGCAGCCCGTATTCAAAGCTAAAAGAATAGCCAATTATCTCGACTTAAAATCAGACCAAATTAGTACGGAGGCACAAACAGAAAAATAACCTGTTATATATACATATTTTAAATTAGTTTTTGCTAGCCTTGGATTGATTTGGTAAAAATAGCAAAAACGCGGTATAGACATCTTAACTTCATCACTTGACAACCAGCTGGAGTATAAAATAAACCTTGTAAAAGGGAACAAAGCTATGTTCTATATATCGGGGACATTTACTAAGACCCTTACAGCCTAAAACCCTATTTTTTAGTGATATTATAAGATTATTATGATTAACACCATAAGCTTTAAAATACTATAAAAACTCACACCCTTGTAATGTATTATCTCATTATCAAATAGAAGGAGTCATTTCCGACCCTATAAATCATATATATTCTTGAACAGCACCAACTGCAGAGTTGATCTAGCCATCTAAGGTAAAAAAAAATTGTTTAATTTTTGAACCTCTTTTTAAGCGGTCATTAAATTTTTTTTAATTTAATTTAAATTAATTAAGCGGTCATTAAATTTTTTTTAATTTAATTTAAATTAAATTTTAAATTGAGTATGCAGATTTGTTAACCTAATAAAAACTAGAAGAGAACAGTTTTCCGATTGAAAATTAATGCATTTATGGCTTAGTTATGAGATATTTTCACTGCAAAGCTTTCTTTTTTGATTAATCTATTTTCGAGCAAATGCTGTCGATCTGTATACAATTTCGTTTGTGTATTTTGACTTAACTGAGTTGTGAGTACGTGATACAGCGAAACAAATTTATTTTAACTGACTGTCACGACAGTAATGACTCATTTTATACAATGTTTTTTTTTTATATATCTATATATAAATTGGAGATTATTAATAATAAGAACGGTATTTACATAAAGTTCAATAATATTCAATTAATCATTTCCTCGAAAAATTGTTTACACTGCGTGTTTGGCATCTTTTTGAATTCCAATATCATGGAAGAAATTATTTTTCCCGCTCAATAAGCAATAAATAAGCCATATTATCCCCAAGTACATATGGAACAACTATTTAGAGGCTTTTCACGTAAGACCTAAACTTAATGCCGTACCATTGTCACAGACCGCAAGAGAGGGGGAGTACCGGAAAAACCTCAAAAACGGGAGAAATGATTCAAACGGTCGGAATTTGACCCACACACAACCCACTGATTGGAAACTGCGAAACGGGGAAAGCAGAAGACGGGGGAGTTCTAGCAGTGATAATGAGCAGTGGTCAGTAGCCAGTAGCCAGCTGCAGCAGCAGCAGATTGAAACAATAAGCGAACGCCCTTGATAAGCGATGCGGTACCAGTAGCAGGCTGCCTCCAAGTAAAGTCTAATGGGAATATTAATCCGATTGGATATACATAATAACCATATATATTCATACATGATAGCAAATGAGGATCTGAATGGGAACGGGACGGGCCTGGGAGTGGCACTGCTACTGCTGGTAGAGTTGGCCACGCAGATAACCGAATTGAATGCACTTTAACTGATGGCAAGCGGGAAGTAAAAATAAACCCGAGCGATAAGCAGACAAAGAGCGCTAAAATATTATACTCTGCCAACTGAGTCAACACAACAAAACAAAAAACAACAAGCATTAAACAGAAAACCGTCGTATTTAAATGCGACATAGGCAGGTTTTTTCATTTCGGTCTTGCCGTTTTCCAATTGGAAATTACAAAGAAAAAAAATGGGGAGAGAGAGGGTTGCATGTGCAGTTAGCCAGCAGCTGAGAGCCGGTGCGCAAGGTTGCCACCTGTCGCCAGCAAAACAAGAAAGACAAACCAATACCAACACACACACACACACTAGCACTAACACGCGCGCCAAAAGAGTTGCCAGCTTTAGGTTTTTCTTGCTTCTTTTTCTCCTTTTTTCGTTAAACCAATGACCAATCCAGGCTTTAAATTGCAAATTGCGACAAAAACAATGAGCATATTTGCGCCTTAATCAGAGTGCGCCACAAATTTCAATTGAAATATGCAGATTGCCGTTTGTTGTACTCTTTCTTTCTCTTGTTTTGTAGCTTGGTGGCGACGTCGCAGATGGAAAATTGTTGCACGTTAAGTGGAGCATGGCGCAAACGATCGCGGCGCACAAAACAAAACTCAAAAAATTAGTGCAGGGGAGGCGCGGGAGTTCGGTTTTGGTTTCTTTTTTGGGCAGGGGCCACAGGACGTTGTCTATTTTCACACCCGACTGCTCACACTCACACAAACACACCACCGTTATTGTTGTTGTTGTCAATTAACGCATTTGATGTGCCAGCACACGAAAAAAAGCATAAAAAATACAACATGGCAGCGGTAAATTTCACCATACGAAAAAGTATCAACCAAAAGCAGCCCCCCTCCCGCGATACGATGATGATGATGATTTGTCTTTTGTGTACAAAACAACAGCCACAAATACACCTTCCGTTGATGACTGGGCCGTGTGTGCCTGTGTTTCTTGGACTCCTCTTGGAGCCGTGGCTTTGCACGCACGTTGCGTATTTAAGTTTTCATAATTTTCCTTTTCCTTTTCTTTGCTGCGTACATCGAAAAACAACAACCAGATTTACAGTCAACACACACACACATACACACACGCACACCGAGGTGGATAAGACAGGGCAGAGCATGGCAAGGGGGAGAGGTGGACAGATGGATGTGCGTTAACGTTTCCCAATTAGCTTATTTGCTGCACTTACACCTGGCCGCCGCGCCGTGAACCGAAATGCAGACGGCCAACAGGACCGCGATCTGCGCGCACGCACTACCGACACTTTTCGCCATTATTTGTTATTATTTTTTGTAACCGAGCTTTCAGCGACGTCCGTTTATAAACCTTTTTTTTTGTTGAAAAATTTCAAAATGACGTTTCGCTTGCCAAAATACCGTGTGGCTGCATATTTCTTTTGATACTTTTCGGCGTTTTTCCTCTGGTCACTCTGAAATCCGAGGCTGTTGCTTAACATTTTACATCCTGCCATTTGACACGTTTACAGATACATGGGGTCGAATTTCTATGTAACATAAAATTCGCCCTCGGGTCCTGTCGGGTGTCGGTCGTTTTTGCATTGTCGAAAATATATTAAAACACCAACGAACCAATATATAGTTTATGTTTGTTCTTTGGTCACATTGATTTCCGAAGCTGTTGTTTAACATTTTACACGAATACATAAAATCTTACACGTTTACAATGACCCGTAGAATTCTCATGTACAAAGTAAAATTAATTTACAGACCTGCTCTCATCTAGAGAGAAACAGCGTTAATTAACAGAATTCTCTCTCGTTGGCTGTCCGGTGGATCTAACCTAACAGAATTCCCTCTTGTTATTTAAAATATATAAATATAAATATAAATATATATATCGAAATACCAATATATCGATATTTTTTGGTATATTTTGATATTTTGTTTCTGAGCACTATGACTTCCATAGCTGTTGTTTAACATTTTACAGCTTAAATTATACATAAATAAATATCTTATACATTTTTTCAGGGTAGATCTAGCATATTTGAAAATGGAAAATAAGTAACTTGCTGATTGCCTAAAAACAGATCAGGAAATTCCCTATAGGACTAAATCACCGCATTCCTGAAAGTATCGGCAATATATTTTGCCGTATGGGAAACGACTCAAAATTTTACTCGCTAAATTTTCAACCAAATCAAAGTTGTAAGCCATGGAAATTCCTTTGTTTTCTTTTATATACTATTAAATTATTTTAAACTACTAAATCTTTAACTTAGAAATCAAAAACGTTGATTTATACGAATTATGTAGCCACACTGGCTTTTGAGTGATTTGTCTTATATTTTCTCCCTTGAATGACTGAAAATATCGAAAGAGCAATTTACAACTGTTTTCAGTAACTGATATTTTTAGTCCCCTGCTAACATAAATTAAATTGTACAACAAAATGCACTTGAAAAATTTATATGTACAATTAAAAATTACAAAATTAATTTAATTAAAAATTTAAAAAATGTACCAGTCTCTTGCAAGCCATGGATATTTATTTTGTATTCTTCTATATACTCTAAAATTATATTTTTAATATTTAATTTAGTATTTAAAAACGTTGATTAATTCTAACTATGTAGTCAGACTGGCGTTTCAGTGATTTATCTTATATTTTCTCCGCTGACTGACTGAAAATATCGAATGAGCAATATTTTTATTAGTCCATTTTTAGTAGCTTGCTATACTGCTATACTGCTAATACTTTATATGCAAAATTAAAACCAAAAATTTATTTAATTAAAAACGTTTAAAAAAATTTGACTGGTCTCTTGGTTTTAAAGCTATCTGAATGAAACTTTGCACTTAGTCTCCTATATAAAATCCCTCGTATATAAGTCAGAACGGGCCGAATCGGATGACTGTATAATATAGCTGTCAAAGGAATGATTAGTTAATTTTTGGGAAAAGATATATATAAATTTTTACAAATTTTCATCTAGTTTAAGATATAGCTATTTTCGGTTTTAATTTCATGAAAATCGGTCAACTTTATCACACAGCTGCCATAAGAACGATCGAGAAATTAATACAAAAAATATTATAGCTTCGCTTTTCAAAATATTTTTATTTACTCAGAGGTTGAGTTATTATTTATTACTTAAAATTTTCGGATTAAGTGTTATTAAAGTCCGGCGAGAATATTATATTGCTGTCATATAAACGATCGTTATATGTAGATAATAATGCAAAACTAAATGTAAATGTTAAATGTAAATATAATAGGTAATGGTGATTGAAACGAAAGTAGGCAAACCTTTGTTGTCTTCATAAATACATTTAATTAATATTTTATTAATTATTTATGATCGAATTGCAGTCTGCAAGGGTATACAAACTTTGGCGTGCCGAAGTTAACTTCCTTTCTATTTAGCTTATTTTTCCCAGAATCTAACTTTTTCGAGGGCTCATCACTGGTAAAACTAAAAATACTGCTTTTGGTACAGAAAAATACTGAAAGTGTGACCTAATCGGGGCGATAAAAATGGCACATCGATAAGCAGAAAATACCCAAAGAGTCGTGTACTATCGTAACAGAAAAAAAGGAAATTGATTAATATATTTAAAAAAATGCTATTAGATAATTAATAAATTTAGCCCAAAATGCAAATTGGAAAAGGCAGCTATAGTAAAAGGGGAACTGGAATATACTTAAATACGCGGCACAACGCGATATATCGATGGCGGGAAGTAATCGATAATGCCCGCCGCTCAAGTCGATACTATCGCCGCCAACTACAACCTCTAGCAGCAGTTAAACAACAACAACACAACAACCACGACCCAAAACACTTGCTCCTCCGCCAGCCCGTTCGCCCAGCGCCATGTCCGTGTCACCGAGCAGAGCGTAATCAGCCACCGAGCGCAGTCCGCCCGTCGCCAGCAGCATCAGCTTCAGCAGTCCCAATCCCCAGGAGCAACAGGTTGCGCATCCAAAACTCCCGTTCCACAGCTGTCCGCGGGCCAATCGCAGTGAGCAGAGCAGAGCAGCGCAGCGTCGCCGGAGACGAGATCAGCCGGGATGCAGCAGCGCCGCAAGCAGGCCAACGGCAATGGAGCCTGCCCCGATGCGACAGACGTGGATTTAGACGCTCCTGAGCAGCAAAAGGAGACCGTAAAAGTGGCGGCACCACCGCGACGCGGCTGCTACTTCTCGCTGGCCTTCTCCATCGGGTCGATGGGACTGGCCTGCGGCAGCCTGTGGCAGATACCAAACACCACCGATCGCATTTCGCTGCAGCGTGGCCTGTTCCTCACCTCGCTGGGCTTCATCTATTTCATTTCGCTGACGGACTTCTGTAACAAATACCTGCTGGAGACGAGCCGGGGCCAGGAGTTTCGACGGAAGTACCGCCTCATGATGTCCGACGTCCTGGAGATCACCAACAAGTGAGTGTTTTCTGTTGATTTTTTGTAATAGACGGTGTAGGTGTTTAAAGGGAGGTTGCTTTTGCAGATGCTAATGCACGCACATATCTATTGATTTTCTCTCAGCGCCGCCCACACACGCACTCACTGCCACTGCCGCTGCACTCTTTGTCATGTGCTGCGGGGAGCGGTGATGGCTTGATTATGGCAATAATATGGGATGGGAGATGGTACCAAAGAGCACTTGTACCACGTTTAAGTATTTTCTGCCCTAATTGGGCACTGTTCTGTGTTGGCATTCGCCTCTTTGCTCGGTTTTCCACAAAACTATGCGTTCTTTAATACTTATATAATGCGATAAATATAGGTTTTAGTCCGAGGAGAGATTCGTTTCTTTGTATATCAAACATTCTTGCATTTATGCCTTGGCAATAATTTTCACTTTCACTTATATATTGGGTGAAATTAATGGGTACTGATTAAATTCCCCTTGAGAACAAATTATTCTTATTAGATATAAAGGAAAATTAGGTTTGCCATTATTATAATAATATAAAATTTGACACTCCTGTTCTATTTAATTGCATAGATTAGAGTATTCAAATACTATTTCTTGGGTAGACATCCCAGCTGGATACTGGACAGTGTCCGTGACTTTGCGTATGTAATTGTTCAGCGGGAACGATGCGATTTAAGTCATCATTGCGCGCTGTGCCAACCGGGTCAAGGTCTTGTAGCGGGCGTGAAACGGGGGGAGGTTGGAAGGTAGAGGTAGGTAGGAATATATGGATAGAACTTGTTTAACTCAAGGCGAGCGCCTGCTACAAAAATGAAATCATTGTCATTCCGTGGGGAAACGCTGCTGTTGATGATCCATTCATCCATCGATTGTTAACCGGACTGCGCCCTAATCTAAACAATTAAACATTTAATTATTCAAATAACCAAATGTGTGCCATCCTCACTATTCATTTTCAGAACTGACTTGACTCCCCTTTTCTGTTTATTTCGATTTGGATTTGTTTGTTTCGATTTTGAAGTGTGACGTTGATGATAACATTGGATATATCTTGTAGTGTTTATTGATTTAAGGGTACTTTGTGGGTTATTATGGTTATTGGGACTTTTGGATGATTCGTTCATTAGCATTTGCCCAACTACACCAGTAGTGCCCGCTGCTGTCCTACTAACTATTACCCCCTTCTTCCACCCTCATGCCGCCGCTGAGTGTTAATTAAACTGTTTGTAGAATTGTTTAGCGCGCTTAAATTGAGTTCCCAATCCCCCCATGCCTTACCTAGCTCTCTCTCCTTCCGCGATTACACAAAGCGGGAGAGAGAGAGCTTTATAGCAGGTGGCGTTATACAACCCGATCTCATTCAATCTACTTTATCGCTGTCATATACTGCGAGAGAGCGAGAGATAAACTTGGATAAGCCGGCATCACATGCTAGTTCCCCTTTCCCCAGAATATACATACATGTATGTACTTTTTAGGTGTGATTGTAGATGATAAGGAAATGCGCTTTAAGTTATTGAGAGTTTACGAACGTCTTTTAAAGATTAATATGCGTTTAAAATTGATTATTTCGCTTTAAATATGAGAATAGTAAATATTTAAGGTTATAATGATTTAAATAATTGTATCACATCTGCTTCCCATTTCCTTTTTATGATCTTAGAAAGGGCATTTTCTCTTCACAACCAATCAATCTTTACAAACTTTGTTGATTGAATCAGAATCTCAATTATTCGCTGCCAGTGAGCGGCTGTTATTTTAATCGTCTGACGTAATGTATCCAAAATAATTGGTTTGTAAGCATTCGGTGATTTGATCATCGCGTATATTATTAAATGTATATTATAGTTTGTATAAAAGATGCAAAAGATGCTAAACTAAATGTAATCTTTGCTCAGCTGACCCAGTTTCCTGCTGCCTGAGTTCGGTCGGTGTAAGTAAGTCCAATAGCCGCGGCTTCACATCCGTGTTGGCGATAAGGCAATCAATGGGGGCTTTGGTTACTGGCCCCGCCTATCTGTTGTCCCTGCCCTGTCTGCTTTGTCTCTCTATTGCACCAGCGATCAACGGGTGTGTGTGTGTTTAGGGTACGGGGTATGGGGTGTGCGGTGTGTGGCTGCTTATCAAAATCGATTGAGGTGAGCGAGTGCGTTTGAAGGTGATAAGAGGGGAAGCGTATGGGCTCTCCTGCCGTTGGTTTGAGGGCTCATTTGAGTAGGAACATCGCATAACGTTCTCTATATGTATATTCCTTGTGAGGGGCCCTTGACTTTTATCATAAATCTTAATTAGACATAGTTGAGGCTATTAGCTTTTATTTTTATTACCGTCGCGCGGTATAGTATTGTAGGCGACGTCCAGCGACCCAGTAACCGATATCTAAATCATATACGGCCTGGCCCAGCTGTATGTACCTAAAGATATAGTAGTGACTCATGTCTCAGTTTGTTAACGTATCAAAAATATCATACATTTTGATATTTCGAAATTATAGGTATTGAAAAATATCGATTTAATTGAAAATGTAATTTGTTATACTCATTATTGCAAATTTATCGCAATTTAGTATGAAATATCAATATACATATTATCGATTTATCTGTCATCGCCACTTCCATTCAATTGAGTTAATATACTTTGCATGTGCCAAAGGTAGCACATTGACACCTCGTGGGCCATTCACTAGATACAGAAATCGCTGGCGATTCGAATTGGAACTAATACTCTCCATTCGATGTAGAGACTTTGCCTCGGTTCTACTGGGTTGAGCACGACATTTCCCCCAGTGCAAGTGCCAGCGACTACTATGTGGGAACGAGTTCGGACGGGGGCTTTGGAGGGGCGTCAAGGTTCAATGGGCACTTTGCACGGTATTTACTAGGTGGAATCACGTCCCTCTAATTGATTGCACAGGCCTACAGGGCGAGACATGAATATAGGTCAAATTCTCTGATTTATTCGGAATATCTCCGGTCAATGCTTCTTATCTTTGATCACTTAATGAACCTAATTGAATATGAATTGAGTCAGAAGCTCATATTCTAATTCAAGTAATTGCAATTCAAACACGAAACGCACTGTACTAGGTATATATGGGGAAAAGGCCAATCTAGCGACTATGAAAGCTACTTGAAATTTGCACTCAACACAATGAGATGCAGTTCTTGTTTTTATTTGATCAAAGATCGAATAACAAGTTGTTTGTTTTTCAGTTAATTTTTTACTAAACTCTATGGGAGTTGATCTTGTAATGGCAAACAATGTCGTTTTTCATACTATATACTAAAGATAAAGCAAGCAATTGAACTTATAAAGCTATAATACATATATATATACATATTAAATCATTTCCTAGACACTTTAGTAGTTATTCAATTCCATCTATTTCCAGCGGTCAGTGGTTTCTATTATCACTTCCCATTAGTCTTTCTCTCTCTCTCGGAGAACTGCGGGGGCTAGGTCCTGTGCTAATGACCAACATCCTGACATTGAGCAATCGTGTCCACAGCGGGCCCTCGACCTCGTCCCAATCCCAATCCCAGACACCCTTGAACTTTGCAGGTGCGGCGCTAGGTGATGATGTCACCGCCTTTTGTCAGCGCACACACTTTAGGAGGCCTTAATTAAATTATGACTTATACCCAGTGGTCTGTTCTGATTTTATCCTTCAGTTAAGTGGCTTTCAATATGATTCAGAATGATGTTGTATTAGTATTATAATAGTATTAGTTGTTTGGGGAAGGATGTTTGGGATTCAAAATTGTCCTAACCAATCAAATAAGATGCATAGTGCCATACAATTTTTGCGGCAATTGTGATATATGTATATCCCCCATATATACTTCCCCTTTAGAATTTTACTCCAGAATACATTTATTTTCTAAACGTAATGTAATGCCCAAAGAAAATTAATATTAATATCCAAATAGAACGTAGGCGTGTGTGGTGCGATACAGGACTCACTTCAGGAATAGCCTTCATTTGCGACCCTTGCCCTTGGCCTTGCCCTTGCCCTTGCCCTTGCCTTTGCCCTTGCCCTTGCCTTTGCCTTTGCCCTTGCTGCGGTTCTTTTCCTTGCCTTTGGCATTACTCTTCTTAACCTTGCGCTTCTTGGACTTTGTTTCGGTTTCGACAATGCTGATGGAACTGCTGGTGTTGCTCTGGAGTACAGATGTCGATCCTCTGCTTTCGAAGACAGTGTCTGGTTGGAAGCTCACTGACTTGACCATGACGGGGTTGTTCAGACCCATTTCCATTAGCTTTCTTTGATCCATTCGATCACGTTGTTGCTGGTTCTCCTGCTCCAGCTCCTCCAGCTCCTGCCGTTCCTCCTCCAATTGCATACTGTCCATTTGCTCCTTTGCCAGTTGTATACTCTCCATTTGTTCCCTTGCCAGTCGCTCCCTCATCCGTTGCTCTCTCTCTAGTTTCAGTTTCATGTTCTCCCTCTCCAGTTCCAGTTCCAGTTGGTCCTTCCCCATTCTGAGTTCCATTTGCTCCTTCTCCAGTAGCTCCCTCTCCAGCCGCTCTTTCTCCAGTTGCTCCCTCTCTAGTTGCAGTTGCAGTTGCTCCCTCTCAAACTCCTCTTGCTCCTCCTCCTCGATGGTCTCGTAAGTGAATGTTCGAATCATTGGCTGGCAATCCACCTCCTTCACGGTAAGGAACAGTGGCTGATGATACAAGATCGGAGCCTCAGTGGCTGTGCGCAGACGCGTGGGCTTTGCCTCATAGTTGACCACCGTGATCTGCGGAACTGACGGCACTGCTCTTCCGCTCCAGACAATTACCGGCGTGCGATGTTTTTTCTCGTTATCAATAACGTCGCCTCCTCCGATGCCCTCAAATGGCTGGAACTCATACTCCGGCGGTGGTGACAGTTCGGAGCCACCGGCGGCTCGTGATCGGCCACGACGTCGACGAATTACCCGCTCGTCGGGAAAAGGCATCTGGTCCAGCTCCTCCAGCATGGGCATGTAGCAGGATTTAAGCTTAAGCGGCGGCTCATTGTATGGAGAATTCAAATCAACTTCCGGATCAAAAATGATAGTTGTACTCTCCTTAGGCTCCGGTGTTTCCACTTGGACTACGGGCGGGTTCTCCAATGGAAGCGGTGCACCGCCCAAGGCCACAAGTTCGGGATCTAACTTCTCAGGCTCTTGCTGTTGCTGCTGTGCCTCAATGACGACAACAGGAGCTTTGGCATTTTTGGCGGCCTTGGCGGCAGCACTTTTTCGGCGCTTGGCACGCTTTGAGGAGCGGCGACCGGGGTTAGGCCCATTGAGATTGCGAACCATTGGACGGTATAAGTAGCGAACAACCTGCGGCTTCCGGCCGCGTGTTAGTGGAATAGAAACAAAGTACTGATAGCTCATATCAATGCCATCTTCCATGGTCCTTGGCACCTTGTGCTGGGCCTTTTTCACAATCTTGCCTGCGGCTCCATTGATCACCTCAATCTGCTGCTGCACCTGCTTTGGTTGCTCTTGTAGCGTAGGAACTACTGGAAGACGTGATCGCTCTGGGATTCTATTCACTGACACCGGTTGATGATTTCGCAGAGAGCGCTCAGAGGGCAGGAGGTAGGGACTTCTCTGCTGACGTTTGGTCCGATTATGGACGACATTCCTGCTGTTGGGCTTTAGAGAGTGTTGGGATATAGTGCTCAGAGAGTCCTTCCCTGCTCGGTTTCCTTGAGATGAAATCATCGATTGCTGTGCTTGAGTCCTTGGATCTGTATTGTAACGACTGATGATAGGATCCCCTCTCAACGGCCCTCGATCCCTTGGCGTATTCAAATAGATATTGTAGTTGTGCCCAACTGCAACCTTAGAGTCATTTATATAGGGATTCGCACGCTCACTGCCCGATGGAGTTCTTTGATCCTTTATTGGCTGATCCGTGGCGGCGTTAATAATCTGCTGCTCCATTGGCTGAATTACCCAGTCGTTCTTGGTCGATGAAGATGGCTCATCTCTGGCCTTGGTTTGATCCGGCTTGGCTTGATCCATGAGCAAATAGATTGAAGTTTTCCTCTCCAGTTTCTTTGCACCTTGATCCGGAGTAGCCTTTCCTAGATCCCTCTTGGCTGCCTCTCCCACCGCCTTCTTCAGCTGGTCCGTCAGTTGGTTCACCACTTGGTTGACCGACTGATTGCCTGTTGGCATGGACACCTTAACCTTGGGCGGCGCAATCGACTGGGGCATGGGTGCATTCATGGCCTGGTTAATGGCCGGATTCTTGAATGTTGTCTTGGACCGAAGCTTGATTCTGGACTGCTGCCCAACTTTTCCTTTGCCGGTCCGTTGTGAAGCCTTTGGCTTGTCGGCCATAATCTTAATCACCGTCGAAGTCAGCTTAATGGCCTTGGGGCCGCCAGAGGTGCCGCGATATCTCTGGACTACACGCTCGGCACTGCACTCGGTGCCGCTGGAGCTGAGGCTACTGTTGTTGCTGCTGTTGCTCCTTGTGGTTGGCTTCGGCAGGCTGGGAATGGGAATCTGGCTGGGTGACGAACTGGAACTCGAACTGGGAGACTTCTCAACGGAACACAGTTTGACGCTGCTGTTTGGTTGCTGGACTTGGGTTCGACTGGACTTGGCACTAGCGATGGGTGAGGGAGAGCAAGACATGAGGCCAGTTGGTGTCTCTATGTAAGGATTTTCGGGCTGGATCAGGGTGATGGACGTGCTGTCGTGTACCAGGACTTTCTCGGAAGCCTTTCGACTGAGAGAAACGTGATTAGAGCACTTGCTGGGCGAATCCTCAAGAGGGGTTGGAGTGGGCGTCGGACAATGGCAGTAACGATTAGGCGATTTGACCTTTCGCGGATTCATTTGCAGCATCTGGGCCTGCAACAGCTCCTCGGCGTGTAAAATCCTTTGGTTGGGTACACAAAAGACACGCGAGGATCGCTTCTTGGTCCGCATCTGCTTCTTCGCCTGCGCCGCCTGGTAGGAGGATTTGAGCAGACTCAGCAGATGCTGCTTTGGAGGCACAGATTTCAGGCGCTCCCTGCTGCTGCTGCTGCCTTCGCTGCCACCGCTGCAGCTGCTGCTCCCACTGCTCCTGCCATCCTTCTGTCGCCATGTCTTGTCCTGGGACTCTTGCATCTCTGATTTTGTATTCGGAAAACCTTCTTCTGAGGAAGACTCGCTGCATTGTATAAAGTCTTTCGAGGGCTTCATGATCCACTCAACCTCTCTGAGGCGACGGGAAGACCCCAGTGCCATCCTCGACGAAGCCATCGATCCAGTTTGTTGTCGTCGCAGTGGGCTGGTGGTGGACGGAAAGATACCGGTGGGACCGGGACCGGGACCGCCACCAGTTAACCTTGTTGTCATAGGTCTGCGGCGATCAAAGGGAGCCTTGGATCCAGCTGCTGCTCCTACTTCTGCCCCATTTTGTAGCCGTCGGTTGCGACTGGCCGCCAAGGCAGGTCCAACTGCTCTGGCTGTTGCTCCACTTGGTGGTATTCCAGGCTTACCAGGCTTACCAGCAATCCTGTTCCTTGGGTTATGTTCCGGCAGATAGCGGCGCACCCCGCTAAAGTATGTCGACATATCCTGAGACATTGCGCTTACATAAAATTTTGACTTTTCCGGAAACTAAAAATGATTGGATCGAACTCTGGTCTAATTGGAATTTTTTACTTTTTTTGCGATTTTAAAAACGATTTTTATATATTTTTTTGGGATAATTTAACATGCTGATAGTTGAACGGAATAAAGGGCAATGACAGCTGGAAAGAAACCTACTGCGTTGGCACTTTGCACTTCCAGAAAAAAGAAAAAGACGAATCCCAGGCTAGCCATGGCTTTTCGTTTCACTTTTATTTCTCTTTAAGCCAGATCAAAATTTGTGAAGTTCTCAGCTCCAGGAGACTTGACTCTCAACGATGTGTGATCGTGGTCCGGTTAGCCGCCCGGCTTGTAGTCCATACCAAACCCGCAACCGGAAGAAGAGCATTCACATTGTGGAGGCACTGAGCTGCCTGTTTGGGCTCACCCAGTTCGAGGTGCTGGCCACTCTCTACCGTCTGGCCTATCACGAATATCAGCCGGCTAAGCGCATGCAGCGCAGCCGCTCCTGGATGGTGATGGAGCGAGTGGAGGCGCCGTACACGGCGCTATATGATCATAGGATCTATGACAGCCTATACGATCGATGGGTCGGCCTATCGATCCACTGGACAAGAGAAATGCCAGCAAGTTGATGCGCTTGCTCTTCCTGATCCCGTTGCTGGTGCCCGAGCAGCGGAACCGGCTCCTGATCATGCTCATTGAGCTTAACAAAAAAGCCACCAGTCCGGTGAATCTGGAGGCACTGCTGCCGGTCCTGGCGCGCATGAAGCTGGCCCAGGTGGTGTGTCATGTTTTGGAGCAAGACCTCTGCCCGCTTTGGCAGCGGCCGGCTCCGCAAAGGACATCAATTCGTGGGCCTCGCTCTTGTTATCTGCCTTGGTGATTAATAGTCATGATTTTGGTTTCAAATCTGCTGAACATATATCTATATATATATATATATTTAAGTATATTGTGTGGTTGATCTTGGGTTAACTCTTTGGTTTTATGTCCTGCGCTTGTAGCTCGGTCTGGGCAGATACTCGTTGATGACCTGCTCCTCAAGCAGTCCCGTGTAGGTGGCTGGTATGACCATGGACTTCCCTTTGGAGGTATGGCGTCTCGTGTCCAAGCTGTCATCCGCATCTGCGCAGTCGTCGCTGGACGAGCTCTCCGTTTCGACGGTTTTTTCCACTTTCCTGGGTTTTGTCTGGTTGGGTCTGCTGCGGGATAGGTTCTGTCTAGCGTCATGCTTGGCTCTCAGTTCGTCTAGGAAAATGGCCAAGGGCGTGGGCTTGGGGCCTGGCTGCTGCTGCAGCTCCTCCTTGTCTTGGTTAACAGGAGAAGATCCACCAGCTTGCCGGTATCTTTGGTGGTCACATCTCATTCTCTGACCCGCCAAGGGATTAGAGCGGAAATTCATGCCAGAATGAAAGGAAATTAAGGCTCCCGAATCGGGCCCTCTTCTCCTTTCTCTGGCTGATCTTTCCGCGGTGATCCCTGTACGAAGTCTTTCTGGTGATGCTTCCATGCTGCTCCACGTCCTCTCACTCCACGTGCTTCCTCTCAAGCATGTACTGCCGCTGGTCAGGCTTTCGTCATTCGGATTGTCTGAGCACAAGCAGGAGGTACCGGTTCTATAGGAGAAATTCTCCTGTTGCCCCATTGCCTCCTCTCCGTTGTAGCAAGACTGCGATGCAGACTCCATCATCTCCTGTGAGTACTCCCTTTCCTCGTGCTGCGATCTGTGCCGAGGTCCACCCAAGGCTTGTACCAGTCCCCGAAGACCCTGGGCAGCGGCTGCAATGGCCCCATCCTGTTCCGTTCTTGGTACGTGGGAACTGTTAATGTGCTGCTGATAGGCAAGGACATTCGGATAGGGTTGGTTCCTTATGGTCCTAGGGTCCGCTAAAGTCTCCTGCACTGGCTGGCACTGCTGCCTGCAGTAAGGTTCATTTCTCCAGCGTTGGTAGTTCTCCTCTGGACAGTAGAAGGCATTGTGGTTGTTGTAGTTATGCCGCTGCTCTATTGGCTGCCACCCTACTCCCTGGTTCCTTTTGATGGCATTGGCATAATATACATCCTGGCGAGGTGGTGGCGTCGGACGATTCGTTCGCAGTCTGGTGCGAGCATAGCGATGCTCGTGCTCCTCCCATCGCAGAGTGTTCTTGAATAACAATGGCTTATTGCTGAACATCTTGAACTTGTATGGCGGAGGCCGTGCGGGACATTGCTGCTGATGCTCCTGATGGTGCTGATGCTCCTGATGCTCCTGATGCTCCTGATGGTGCTGATGCTCCTGATGCTGCTGATGCTGCAGATGCTGCTGATGCTGCAGATGCTGCTGATGCTCCTGATGCTGCTGCAGATATGGCTGCTGCTCGGGAATTTCCGGTTGTGGTTGCGATTTCTCGTATTGGTAGTATTGCTCCACCGGATCCTCCTTGAAGCTATCTGGTGGTGGCTCCACACTGGCCACCGATGGTGCTGGGGCACAGGGACACCGTATGCTGTCAGTGTTGGAGCTAAGTGCCCGGATCGAGCAGGTGGTGTGAAGGGAGCGAGAGCTAAACTTGCGTTTTGCCGCCATGCCCGGTTGTGTGTCCGTGTAGAAGCGACGACCCGACGCCATGTGCTGTGGCGGTGGCGGTGGCGGTGGTGGGGCAAACGATAACGCTGGCTGTGGTGGCGCAATGGAGTAGGCTTGCCCTCGTGGCGCGCATGACAATCCGGGCAAGGTACGTGCAATGCTGATGCCAGCCATGGCTTTCGGTTGCCACTGGATTGGGCATCTCCTTCGCAAGCTCGACCTTAAGGACGGCTCGCATATGCTGCTCATCCTTGCATCCTGTCGGGAGTTGGATATACTGCTGGACTGTGATTGGTGGCAGCATGAGCGGCTTTTAGAAGCGGTCGACTGGGAGCTCTGCTGGCTTCTTCCATAGTCAGACCAACGTGGACAGTAGGTGGGCTTGCGAATCCTCTGTTGCTGCTGCTGCTGCTGCTGTAGCTGCGACCAGGAGGAAACTTCCCTGGTCTTGGCATTGGCATCCGAATTGGAGCTTTCTCTGTAATACGATCTGTCGTAATCCTTGCAACGCCCGGAGTACCGCTTGGGTCTGCTATCCTGCCGCCGACGACAGACAGAAGCCTCGGACTGACTGTAGCGGTAGCCACTCGAGGATCGATCTCGTTGCGTCTGCGTCCGGCCCCCCGAGGAACTGGAGCCGCAAGACGTGGCACGCTTTCGAAACTGCTTCTTCGGAGCAACCGGACTCCTCTTTAAAGTTTGACAATAACAGCAAGGTTTTCGTTCACGCCTCCTGGTTGGAGTTCGACTCCTGCCACGCATTTTGCGTGTGGGGCTTCGCTGCTGCATTGGTGGCTCCAGCGACAAGGTAGTTGATGTTTGCGTGTTCGACACACATTTCCTTATGGATGATGGTTTCCGTATGGGTATCATCGGCGAGCAGCAGGTTACCGGAGTTGTCATCAGACTGCAAGTTGAAGTTAACTGCTGACTGCTAGGTGATGTTGCTGGCTGACTGCTAGGTGAAGTTGCCGGTTGACTACATGATGGGATCATCTCCTGGTTTGCATACTGGCTGCTGACGAAACCCGAGGAACTGGGCTGTGGATTCATTGGGGTCTCTGTATGCTCCTGAAATACTGTTAAAGGAATATCAGTCTCGATCGGAGCTTGTTTCTCAATGATGTCCAGGCAGCCGCAATTGCATGTATCTTCGGGATCAGGAGGGGGATCCTCTGGCAACGTCTTGGTGCTCTGCCTCTGAACTATCTTCTTTGGCTTCACCGTCCGCCAGCTTGATAGCTTGGGCCTTTCGATGGCTGACTTAAGGCAGATGGACTTTTGCTCTGACGCCATCGCTGTATATGGCTTCTTCGCATTGGGCTTCAATGGCTTAAAGTTGGGCTTGAATTGCTCTTTGGGCCTGGGTTGGCATTGGTCTTTGATGGGCTTCTGTCTTGCCCTTGTGTTTACCTGTTCCGAGGCTTTCTTGCGCTTCAGGCGCTCCTTGCTGGGCCTTGGCCTGGCCACGCGCCGCATTAGCTGATAGTAATCGTTGCCCAAATAGAAGGCCCTGGGTCTGTAGCCACACTTTGCATAGTCCGATTCAGTGGATTGCTTCCTTCGAATGGGTGGCTTAGAGGCAGACTCCTCGGGAGCTGCTTTAATTGTTGGTACCTCTTGCGTTTCGTTTGTTTCCTCCGGTTGCCAAGATTGACTGCGAATGCATACCCTGGAAGGTTTTGTCGAAGCCCAGGTCATGGCGCATCCGCACTGACAGGAAATGGATGTCCTTTCTGGCTGTGTCTGAGCACAGGACATGTTGCATACGCACTGACAGGCAACACTGGCTGTGGACTCTGGGAGCTCGGCATATCCGGCCAAGGTGCGTTCGCTAGGCTGGTTATGATATTGGATGTTGTGCTCTTTGGTTGGTATTGTCGGTAGCTCCGCTTGCAAGGCGTCCTCCGCCACCTGCTGTTGCTCCTGTTCCTGCTTCGTCTCCTCTGGCTCCTCATCTTTCTGCTCCTTCTTTTGCTGCTGCTCCTCCTCCTTCTGCTGCTGCTGCTGCTGCTGCTGCTCATCCTCCTCCTCTTCCTCCTCCTCATCATCATCATCATCCTCCTCCTCCCCCCTAATCCAGACTGCGTATAGCTCTCGTTGACTGGAGGCATAAGCGTGGTGCTGCTATCTTCCGCCTGCATTTCCGTTTCCGGATAGTCCGGCGGCAATTGCCTTTTCACCTTCTGCCATATGCAGGGCGCTGGAACTGAGACGAATAATTTCGGTGAATGGTCCATTCCTGCCTGCGATTCCTGCCGCCGCTGCAGCTTGGTCTGCTGCTTCTTGGCGTACTTAGCCCGGATCTGTTGAAAGTTGGTGCCTAGGTCGTACAGCGGCCTGTTAACGCGCCTGCAGAGGCCGGATAAATTGCCAAAGAAGCTCTCCTTCTGGTTAGAAACATTGGGCAGTGTGCAACTGGAGGACAAAGGAACACACAAGCAAGATTCATTAGGCGGTATAGAAGCAGGTGGAACAGAAGGAGCAGGTGGAATTGAAGAAGAAGGTGGAATAGAACAAGATGGCGTAAAAGAAGATGAAGCAGCCGTAAGTGAAGAATCAGGCGTTAGAGAAGATGGAGTAGGCGGGCAATGAGGAAGAGGCGCTAGTGAAGGATGCGCCGGGGTATAGGCATTAACGCAGGCCATCGTATACTTCGACACCGGCGACTGACGGAAGCAGTTACGCCAGTCGCGTCGCTTCTTGGGGATCTTGGGCACCTGTTGGATGGCCCCCAGCTTTTGCTGCAATTTCTGCTGCTGTTGCTGCAACTGCTGCTGTTGCTTCTGCAATTCCTGCTGCTGTTGCTTCAACTGTTGCTGATGCTGTTGCTGCAACTGCTGCTGTTGTTGCTTCAACTCCTTCTGTTGTTGCTCCAACTCCTGCTGCTGTTGCTTCAAGTACTCCTGCTGCTCTTCGGTATCGAAGCCCAGCTGGCGCATCTCATCGAGGTCACTTTTAGTCGAGGAATAATTGGACACAGTTGATAGTTGCCTGCTGCGACGGTGCTCCGGGTGCTCCCTCTCTTTAGCCTGGTTGATGGTGAGGTGCGAACAGTAGGATCCCAGCGATTTCATCATTGGGCAGGTGTCTTGGTTGCAAGACAGATTCGCATCCTCTTCATGCTCTGGCTCAATGGATAAGTGTGAGACCTTCTTGGACCTTTCTTTCTCTTTCTCTTTCTCCATCTTCTTATAATCCATGCACTTGCAGAACGACTCCTCCTGTTGCATATCATACTCCTCACTCCCCTCCTCTGGTTGCCGATTCAAGCCTGGCAGCCGGTAAGGTGACAACCTTGCCGTGGCCACCGAATCGTCGCCCAAAAAGTGCTGCTTCTCCCAGGTGCATGTCTGCTCCTCGCACGGACAGCATTCGGTCGGGTTGCCCCAGTGATGCATCGAGATTCCGTAAAGCGGACAGCTCTCGCTCATGGCCGTCTCGTAGGCGTCCAGGATGCGGAAGAATTCTGGGGATATGCGGCGGAAGGCGGTCGGATCGAGCCGTCTCTGGGGCGCATGACGCAAATCGTACTTGCGCCTTAGGCGCGGTGGTATGGGCTCCGACCGTCGTGTCGAAGGGCAGTGCCTGTCCATGGCTTGCAGGAGGCGATTGTACGATGACCGATCATTGCTCTGCTGGCAGGAATTACCGCTGCCGTCATTGGTGTCCCTTGGGTGAAGGGGGCACTTGCTGTACTTTTCCTCCATTGTTGCATCGCTGTTCAAGAGGAAGGGATTGCGTGACTTGGGCTCTGTGAGGGGCAGACACTGGGACGCCATGGCGGTATTCTGGGTTGCTTGGGCCTCCGCCGATTCCGTGCATCCGCAGCAGGAGCAGCTATTCTGATGATGTCGCATTTGATCCGAACACTTTTTCTCTTCAAGGCAGTCGCAGGAGTACTGCAACTCGTAGCATTCATTTTGATTGGCCAAACCACTGCTGAGATCGGCCAGCTCCTCTGTGGAAAGCTTGTCCACATAGACCTTCTGCTTGCGGAACCAATTGGTGGCCAGGTCCGGCACCAGCAGGCGCTCCTGTTTCCGCCTGCCGCCCTTGAGCAGCTGCTCGAAGAGCAAGCAGCGCGAGGCCTTGGCCTCCAGCGATGAAGGCGGCGGAAAGGTGTCCATTCCCTTGACCGTTAAGCGATCCAGACAGCCGGCGGACCGAGTGCCGTTGCCATCCAGCGCATGGGCCAGGCATTGTCGCAGGGAACGCTCCGGTGCCCGAGCACTGGATTCCATATGTGCTTTTCTATCTTTTTCTCTTTTTTTGGGGGTTTTTCTGGGGGGATTTAGAGTCCTTCGAGTTGGCTACCGTAAAATTTTGAGTTATTTCCAGGTAATAACTGAATTATGTCAAGATCAAGTGGATTTAACAAGAAACTCAAGAACAGAGTGAGCTTACAGACGCAAAACCTACACATCGTCAATGTAGAAATCATACATTATTTGCTTATTACCTTATTCATTATATATTTAATTATTTATTTGCAGAATTGTTTCGGCCATCCAGGCTTCGTTCTCCTTCCTTGTCGGCCTCATCGTCTGCAAATCGACATGCACCAAGTCCTTCGTGTACGCCTCGCATTTCCTGATGGAGGCATATGGCTGGTTTGGCACCGCCTACTTCATGTACGACATCTGGTCTATGTATAAGGTGCACACCCAGAAGATAGCCGACAAGCTGCACCTGCTACGCATCACCAAGGGCCAGGGATCTGGATCGGGATCGGTGCTGAGCAACGGTCATGCCAATGGCAAGTCCACAGGTGGCAATAACAACGGCAGCACTCCGGGCACACCGCACGAGATCTGTGACTATGACGGCGCCTGTGTGCAGATACCCAAGGACGGACGCTGGGACTTCCTCAAGTACGTGCTTACCCATCCGGTTATGATGATCCACCACGTCTTTATTGGCACCTTCGGTCTGCTAGTGGTGACGGTAAATTGAACATTATATACGTGATAACATTGATGACTAATCTACCTCTCGTTTGCAGTACATTCGCGGTGGCGGACACTGCATTTACAGCTACATGTTCATGATGGAGTTCTCCACGCCGTTCGTATCACTGCGCAGCATCCTGAGTACCATGCGGCTGAAGGAGTCCCGCGTATACATCGCCAACGGACTGCTCATGCTGGCCACCTTCTTCGTGTGCCGAGTGTGCATGTGGCCGTATGTGATGTGGCGCTACAGTCTGGCCATTGAGGCCGCCTCCCTGTGGACGGCCATGTGCGGACTGCCGCGTGGCTGCCTGGTCAGCATTGCCATTCTGTTCTTGCCGCAGCTCTACTGGTTCTATCTAATGGTTCTGGGGGCCCTAAAGGTGATCTCCCTGCTCTGTCTCGCTCTGTTTCGTGGTGATTAATAGCATTTCTTTTGTTTAACAGGTCTTCCTGCCCCAAAAGCCGAGGCCGCCCAATGGCACCGCCCTTCCAGCCACGTCGTCGATGGCGCCACCGCCCACCGCCCTTATAAATGGCAAAAACTAGTGCAAAGATATTTAAATGTTTTTGTTTGTTTTCTTCTTTTTTTTTTTGTATATCCGATGTATTTATTTGGAGTTCCAGCCGCCGCTCCATTTTTACGGAGCTCTTCATTATTGTTTATAAATTTTGTAACAAATAATTATACAACCGCCACCATATACCCTAATATCGAGCGGAAATCGAGCCCGGAGCCGGATATATGCCTATACGATACGCATAGTCGAACCGAGACATAGACAGAGACAGACAGAGACCGACCCTTGTTTAGTTTGTAAAAGACATTATTTACTACTACTAAAAAGAAACTAAGAACTATAAGATCAAAGTCTAACTATAGAATCAACTAAACCAAAAGCAGATGAAGCGAATAAACTGTGTATGTTGCTTACTTTTTGGAAGCACAAGTCCCTAAACAATGCCTAAACGAATTAATCTTGCATTCAATCCTATCCGCTAATCCCGCCCAGCAATGGGGATAGCTTGTGTTACAAAATCTGTTATAAATTGTGAATAGCCAGCGGCAGTAGAGGATCAGGACATTAACCAGCCTCGATCTAGTGTACCTATTAACTCTAATTGTTGAGATTGTGAAACTAAGCAAAGGAGACACAGATTGTGTATAGGGATTAGAAAGATTATAGATAATATGATGTATGTAAACGGGGACCGTGTGAAACCATCTAGCTTTTCTCTCTCGGAGAGCTCGTAAAATGAGGTTTTGATCGACCCTCTTCTCTTCCAGAATGAAACTTCAGGAAAATAGAGAATGCAAGAGGGATGATCTCAAACCGACTAGGGAATCGAGACCCCAGCCTTTTGAGCTCTGGCTTATACCATTGAGAGTTGTTATAAATATTGGAATATTATTTTAATTTTAACTAAAGGCAAACAATATATTGAGCATGACTTTGCGGCTTCCTATTATACAACTCTTTGAGAAAGTTCCAAACGCTGAGAACCTCTTCCAATATAGAACCAGAGCTATCCATAAATATGATTTTACGGTCCCCTCCGATGGTATATGAATGTTTGTAGGACGAACTAACCGTGGTTTATTTTATGAACTGTCATGTGAAACTAGCACAAAATCAAATTTTAATTGAGCTTACAAGATTGTGTAATTATATATGTAGTTAACTATTTATATGTAATAATAACAATAACATGGCGCCACAATGTTTGTTGAAAGGATGCTCCCTGGAGACTCGATGATGCTTAGCTATGTGTATTTACAACTTAACCACTTATATACCAAGCTATATACATATATGTATACACCACACACAATATTGTATTTAGATGTATGCCCGCGAGCGCATGTATTTTGAACTATATGTATATGTATGTAGCCGTGGACGATGCTTAGGATGAGTGTATTTTGAGTGGTGGAACGGTCACCAGTGCCGCCAGAATGGTCGAAATAAAGTTGCTACAGAGTTCCACACAAAACGAATAAAAAACAGACAGTGCTTCAATGGCCGGGAATGATACTATTTGGAGGTCATCACAGGGTGGCACGCTTGCTGTTAGGCAAGCCCTCGCTCTCGTCATCACTACGGTCCGCTCGTCGCCGCTTCTTCTGGTGCTCCTCTACCAGCTCCGAGGTGCGAATCTTATTGCCCGTCATTTGTAGCCAGTCGATATACTGGAACATAGCGAAATCGCGGATTAATTAAAGCTCTATATATACACATACAGCAAGAGTACCTGGCTGTTTGTACGCACTCCCGCCTCGTGCAGCTTGGCCTCGATGTTGTCCAACCGCAGATCCGACTTGCCGCTCTGTCCATCGCTCTTGGATATGTCCAACAAGTGGCGCACGCGCTGGCGCATTGTCTCGAAAATGATGCGACCGATGACATGGTTACGGTCATAGGGCGTTAGGTAGCGGCCAAACTCGTAGAAGTACGGATGCAGCCGGCCCAGCTCAATGTGCGTGGTTTCCGCCTCGCAGACGGCCTTGTGCACGTTTCGGTAGATCTCCGGCACGGATATGGTGAAGTAGGCATTGTTCACCTTCAGCTCCTTGATGTACCACAGCGGCAGGTTGATTGTGCGTCCCGGCTCCAAATCATTCGAGTCGGCGCCGGAGTCCAGGAAACCTGCATTGCATGGCAGAACTCTTTAATCATGGCACAAAGACGTCACCGCCGCCGCCTTCTGGCAGGAGCTCTCTTACCCATTCGCTGCAGCTTGGTGTTGACGCGGCACTCCACCTTCTCCTGGGTCACGAATATATCCTCGATGGAGTAATAGTTGGGAAAGTAGTTCATGTCGTTCTTCGTTTCGGATGTAAACAAAATATTTGCGCGGTTGCCAGGGATGAGAGAAGGGACCAGGGCTGCCGAATAGTTAAAAATACCATCTGAAACCAAAAAAGGTATATTTATTTGGTATTTAATAAATTTATCGATAGCCCTCTAACAAAACTGTTATATTCTATCTGTCACTTTGTAAGATACAGTAGTTAACGAAATATATTTATTTTTAGAATGCAACTACTCAAAAAGCAATCCACTGTGATCATCTTTTAAATTTAAAACTCATAATCTCCTCCATTTGGTTTCATCGATAACATACAAACGATAAATATACTTGCAATTTATCGGTATTAAAAATGAAACTGCGATAAGTAGTATATTTCCCACATGTCCATCGCTTTTTCCATCAACGTGTCCCGGTCACACTAAAAGTTTATTTCGCCTAAAACCTGAAAGTCGCGGCGTGCGGACAATTTTTTTCTGTTTTGCCAATGCAACACCAGTGAAGAGCCACAACAAGCACTATTTCGATAAGCGCCGGCCCAGCGGATAAAAAAAGTGAAATTGCCTTTTGCGGCAAAGTTGGCCAAAAGTAAAAAATCAAGAAAAGCAAAAAGAGCCGAAAACAACAACAAATTAAGTAGACACGGCAACGGCTTACAGGCGTCGCTGTGTTTGTGTGCGTCCGCGGTTGTTTGCCAGTGTGCGTGCGTGTGTAGTTGTTGCGCCAAAAAGTTCCAATCGGAATTCTGGCCAGCAAAAGAGGAACAGCTGCTGGCCGCAACGACGACATCGACAACAAAAACAACAACAGCGGCACAAGAAGCCCAAGAGCGAAAAGCAACAGCAACAGCAACCAGTGACAACAACAAAACGCGGCCAAGAACTTTTATAGCTGCCGAAAAATGGGCGACTTCGATCTGAACGTGGACAGTTTGATACAGCGGCTGCTGGAAAGTAAGTAGAAACCGACCGTTATGCCCCCCCTTGGATTTCCCATCTCCCCTCCAGCGCCCAGCCCCATTCCCCACCTTACTTTTTTTATTTAGAACCTAGTTTATCAGTGTGTGCGTGTGTGAGTGTATCAGTGAGCGGGAGAGAGCTTCTCTTTTGGGGAAAAAAATAACAGCGATTGCATTTTCTAATTATTGCACATTGTTCGCTTAAATGGCACCCTACTGCCAACCCCCGGCGCCCCCAGCCTGTGCCCCTGCCTCTGTGCTCGGTAGCGATGCCCTGACCATTTGAATTTGACTCTTGAATCAATTAATTTTAATTGATTTTCATTGCTCGCTCCTCTTGCGATGCAAAAGCAACAACAAAAACAACAACAGCAGCATCTGCATTCTCCGATCTCAATGTTATTTTGGTTTATTACAAATCGAGCATTTCAGTTCGGTTTCATTCTAATGACGTCATCAACTTTGGCCTGATAATGCCAACTGTTGTGTAGAAACGAATGTGATTCAAGTTGCAGGAGTGCGACAAGGAGAGAATCCGAGAATTGAGTCACATGAGTGCGATAAGGAGCGAAGAAGATGTGAGAGAAGGCGTACGCTAAAGAGAGCAAGAGACCGTTGACACGTGACTATAGCTAGGAAGAGAAATTCAGGAAACGAAAAGTGCAGTTAGTTATCTGTGGGAAATATTTTGATACTTATTATCTTAACTAATCAGTTGAATATTTCTAGCTAACAGTTTTCGGGCAAAGAGTTGCAAAACAGATCGGTTAGAAGCTTAATGTTTGCTACTATCACTTTTGGTCACTATAGCCCTACATATACTATTTATAGGTTGCTTAGAACTCTCAAAAGATCTTACAGAATCTAATTGCTATTAAAAAACGCAATTTTAACTAATTCAAAGCACGGTGAGTAGTGCTTGCAGGGTATCTAGGGGTTGGGGTTGTGCCACCGTCGTCGTTGTCGTCGTCGTCATCAACATGCAACCTTTCTGGAAAGCGTAAAAGCGCTAAATAGTTTACATTTTCCTTGCCCCTCTCCCCCTTTTTCTCCATCCATCATCTCCGAGGGTTGCTTAAGCCGCTTAGCGCTTGTCTCGTTTTGCAAGTGTCAGCCAATGTCGAAGTTGGAGGCGAGAACCGAGCGTGGCTTGGGCTTGGACGAGGGAAATTGCATTTGAACATTGCGCTTTTCGGTTTTTGTCCATTTCCGCAATGAGTTTCTTTTTATATCCCCCTCTCCCTCCACCAAACCCCCATCGTGTTTTCGCCATGAGATGACACGACCCAACTACAGTGGTCAGTAGAATGAGATGGACAACTTTTTAGAAATCACAGTCCTTGAAGGAAGCAGATAATAAGAGATGGGAAAATAGTTTAAACAAAAGACAAAAAAAAAGCCAAAGTTGATATACCCTTGCAGTTTGCAATTGAATTATAGGATCGTATCGGAAATCGATCATAGCTAAGCTTAAAATATTCGCATGCTTTGAATCAATATTTATCGAGATTTTTATATGACAATTTTGTCTACAAATCAAAGTTTTAAAAACTCATAACTTCGCTAAAAAGGCTTTAATTTCAATTCGGAAAGCTTTCCCATGTTAGTTTTTAGAAGGGTAATAAATCTGCATACTCAATTTAAAATAATAAAGAATTCCAAATTTTGACATTTTTTTTTTGACAATTTTAGCGATGTAACCCCTTATAAAATTTGGAAAATTTTAAAAATTTTGTATTTCCTCCCGAGATAGCTAGATCGATTCTCCTGTTGATGCTGATCAAGAATATATATGATTTATAGGGTCGGAAATGTCTCCTTCATAGCGTTTCAAGGTTCTGACTGAAATTATAGCCCTGCAAGAGTATAAATATTAAAATAATAACAATTTTTATGAAAATTGACCGAAAAGACAGAAAATCAGTGGGGAAAATACCTCTTTACGTTGGTATACAAACAGGGCTTAGGGAAATCTCAAAAGGTTTTAGATTACAATAATTATATAGGAAAATATCCTGATAGAGAGGTTCCTAAGATGAGTTAAATGGCAAAAATTAAGGAAATATAATTTAAGGACTTGGATTTTCTCTTAGATTTTGGATGTTAAAACCCTAAATCACTTCAAAGAGTGACCACTGTCTGTAGACTACTCGCAGGATGACAAATGGGATGAGAGCAATCGCAAAATAGACAGATTGGGAGCGAGTAAGCTGGTGGTGGTAGTGGTGGACCCAACCATTTTTCAAGGTCATCGAGTGGGCTAGGCCATGGCGCACTGGAGCCCTCCGGTCCCATCTCTTCTCTGGCCTATAACAACAGCAAAAAAATAAGAAAATGTCATTAATTTTGATATACGTGGCGTCATCAGCAACGGCACAAAAATTTCATTTGTCAAATTGCAAATTGAAATTGAATTTTTAGGGCACTTTTGCCGGCTGTGTTGTCCGCTTTTCCCCTTGAATTTTCCGGCATGAAAACTGGATGCAGAGGTAAAAAGCTCTCTCACTTATGCCTTGGTGTGTACGTTTCTTTTTTTTTTTATTGTCCCTTTTGTTTTAAAATTTAAGTTGTAACCAACTCCCAAAACTCCTCGACCACACCCCCGCCCCTCTTTCTATATATGTATGTATATATATATGCCTATGTTATCCACCAAAAGACTTCAAAAAACAAAAAGAGGCCGAAGAGCACGCCCAGAAGCTGCTCATCGCTCAACAATTGGCCGCTGCCGGCGGAGCGGCCGCTGCTGTGGCCGCCGCATCAGCTGCTGCTGCCGCGGCCGCCGTAACCGCAACATCGCCCACCACCTCCGGCAGTTGCTCGGTGGCAGCGGCAGCGGCGGCGGCCATGTCCGGCTCTGGCTCTGGGTCTGGATCGGGTGGTTATGGGTACGATCCTCTGGATGAGCTCACCGAACAGCAGCGACGTCTGTTGCAACAGTACTCGATATCGCCGCCCAGTGAGACAATGATATCGGCCGACGGCGACCAGATAACGGTCCATCATCCGCGCGAGGAGCCCAAGAAATCGCGATTGAAATTGCGTGACTTTTTCGTCGCCGAGTTTGGTATTAACCTTGATTACTGTTGATGTTGATGATCATCACCATCGTCGGTTGTCATCATTATCATTATTGTCGTCATTTAGCCACTCAGCTCTCCACTCTAAAGCAAAAGTACTATAAGCCACACAGCGGGGACTCCCCGTCTGCCCCATTCAACCTGCAAATAGAAACAAGAAACCACCAACCACTAGCACCCAGCTCCTTTCATGTTACACACGCCCGTCTAGGACCATCACTCATATCCTAAGTAGCGTGCTGACATCCGTCTCCTTCCTCCGCCTTCTCCTACTTTTGCGACAGTAAAAGGACCCCTGGCGCACTAACACCCACACCTCAATCGCAGCACTTTAGGGCCAGCTCCTGCTCACGCCGCTAGAAGAGCTTGGAGATTCCTTTGGCCAATAAGCGATACATATCCCCCACTCAATCAGCCAAATTCAGCAATGTCCTTGGCCACACTGCAGGCAGCTTTTCACATACCAGAGTTCCTATTTCCCATTTCCTATATATATATAGATATAGACCTCTTATGAAATTAGAGATATGATTTGTTGTGGAACTATAAATATATTTCAAATATATATTTCGTTCAGACAACCTTTTAAAGGTTATTTAAATTTGTGAATCATTTCAAGTCTTTACAAACTTAAAAGTATGTAAGAAGATAAGATACCTGAATGAGGCAACAACTAACTCAATTTCCACATATTTTATCGAATTCCAAGTCATGCTCTATAATCCCTAGTAATTTCCAAATAACTGATTGAATTTGAATTTGTTTTGTAAGTGATAAGGCACACCGACACCCTTCACACACCAATTTCGCTTGAAACCCTCTTCACCGCAAAACAATAATTAATAATAAACAAACTACTGAATGGGGGGAACCGAGAATTTGATATTATTTATGATTTTGGTGTGCGGTTACTGTTTACTTTTGCCGGAACTGCAATGGCAATGTCAGTGCCAACGCTTGACCAGCACCGCCTGCCCCGCTTAGGTATTTATACCAACCATATATATGTATACTGTCATAGATGTTATATATATATATATACCTATCTGAGTGTTATGCAATCAAAACCCCTCCAGTAAATGCCACAATGCCCGAATTGCTTTCATCTAATTGTTTTCACACGACGCCAAATCCGCAATCGTCAAATGTAATGCGAAACAAATTATATAAATCAAACGAAAGAGGAGAAAAGGGTTGCGAAAAGTCACTGGGAAAATGGTTGGGGAAAATTGGGATGGTGTGGTGTCCAAAAAATATAAAAAAAGAGGGAATCTTTCCTCTGCCTCTCTCGTTGACTGGCGACACGCGACATCACGAACGACTGCAGCTCTTCTGGGTGATAAACAATAATCATAAAGTATACAAAAATTGATTGGCGTTGAGTGCGCAAATAGTAAAAATAAAACAATGGCGGGGCGAGTTGACTCTTGACTCGAGAATGAAATATTTACCGCTGACATGAAAAGCGGAAATATTGCGGGATTTTGCCTCCATGTGTTTGCGCAAACAAGTTCATTCACGTGACCCGATGCCTAATCAGGTGCCAGGTGCAGTGCCAAGCCAAGCCAACTCAAGTCGAGCTTGTCGAAGGTTACCACCGTCACCGTCACCGTCACCATCATCATACCCATCACCATCACCATCACCATCAGCATTACCATTACCATAACCATAACCATTGCTATATTATTTGCTCAACGACCCAATGGCATGCTTACACTTTCAAGACTAGGATGGGGTTTATCTTGTCACTTTCCACATAATCAATTGTTTAGGCAAAGATATACCTTTCCAGATAATACTTGAAATTCTGTTCCTAGAATATTTGATACGAATTCTTAGACTGATAGTTAATATCAGTTTTACCATAACTTTCTTCGCACAAATCCTTTACCTAACTGAACCTGAAATCCCTTAATAAAGAGACGGGCAACAAGTTAACAACAAGAATTGGCAATTATTAAGCCAAAAGCCTTAACCCTTAACCCCAGGCGAACTGAAGGGAAAAACCTTAACCCCAGCGGTTACTCCTCTTCGTTCTTTTTTTTTGTTCTTTTTACATGCAGCACAGTGTTATTGATTGGCCTGTTGTCCCCCACATTTTCCCCATTTCCCCATTTTGCATATGTGTTTGGTTGGTTTGGTGTCCTGGTGCCTTGAAGGAGAGAGTGTGCCAAGGCTCAGTTTGCTCTGCTTTTGCCAACACCATACACTTTTCCTTCTCCTCCTCGTCCTTTGCAGTCAGAGTCAAGCAATCCTTGTACCAGTGAGACTGCCTGGCTGACGACTCTTTGGCTCTGACTCTGCTTCTCTCCAAGGGTTCCATTCCGTGCCTTGGCAAATATCCTTCGTTATTTTGATGCATTTCTAATGTTTGTATAATATTTGTATAATTGAGTTGGCTGACTCCTTCGACCTCCTCTCGCCTTATCCTGTCATTCAACCCAGTGTCTCGTGTGTCGTCGATGTCGCCAAAAGTCCTTCCAAATGTTGTCGCATGCCAGGACCTGTCATCGCTCTTGACGTTGTATGATTACACACCCTGGAGTATTAGGTTTGCAAATTGTATGTTCAGTTTCTTTGATAACTCGCTTGAAAGTGGGTAAAATGTAGGACTAGAGACTTGGTCTATACATTGACTTGTATGCAAATATTACGCATACGACCAGTTGGCAGTCTCATCTACAAATACTTCTAATTGCATATTATATAAACTGCCAAGATAAGAAATGCATTTAAATGCCAGATATATACTAGTTAACTCTTGAATTATAAAGATTTCGTGGAGACCTCTTCACTTCCTTGTCTATATCCTAGGTATTCAATTATCGGAAGCCTTCTGTTTCATCGCCAATTGAGAGCAGGCCAGGCATCTTCTCTTCAAGTTTGTTTTCTGATTGAAAATAGAATTTGAATGTCATAACCTTCACTTGAGTCAATCAGCGATGGCATAATAATAATAATAATAACAAGAAAGAAGCCGCTGCCGCTAAAGAAATGCCAAGACAGGGGGGCAAGGAGAGTCTAAGCTACTACGAGTATAATGGTATTGCGATAACTGGCATTGCGTGCTTGAATCAACGAGGATTCTGTTTGGTAAAGGTAGCTACTGGGATTCCAGGGGATTGGCTAGATTAGATGGAATGGAATGGAATGGTATGAAGTTTGGTTTGGATTGGATTATGGTCTGGGCGATTGGCGGTGAGGTTCTCCCTTGCTAATGCCTTCGCTTCAATTTAAGTGGTTTTTGATTAGCTTTCGATCGGGGAGTTTCTATCGACGGTACTAAGTAATGCGAACCGCTTCAATTGCAATCCAACAGATTACCTAGTTGCATAATGCATAAATATATAGTTGAGAATAATATTTTTCAAGCTTTTCTTGTTTTTAAATACCTTTCATTGACTTTAAAAACCTGTTAAGTATTTAACAACAAGATAAGATAAGTTCTGGACAATGTTTTCACCATTCAAAGTGCTTGCCTCATTAGGTTAGTTAATTAGTTGTGTATATTTATTTTGTAATATATTGAAAATGTACAGCTATGCATAAATACAGCTTTGTCTATAAACAAACTCTGTAAATTGACCAGGCAAACTGCAGTATAGATATATATACACTTATTAGCTTTCTAGTAAGCTGGAGTATCTTCTTTAGCAATTCTATGAATTTGAATTCCTGACAATTGCGGGATTCCCCCTCCTTCCGTATAATTATGTTAACCGCTAGTCCAGTCGAGGGCCATAAAACCCGGACAGAAAGCAGAGAATAAAAACCACCGAAACAGAAATCCACAAAACAAACAAACAAATAAACAAAAACAAGTACGCTTGCATCCATAATTGCACATAACTAGAATGAGACGACGAGGGGGAGGTGATGACATCAAAAGTTTGTTCATTAAATACAAAAAAAAGAGTATAAAAAACAAGAACAGAACGCTCTCTTCATGCATGCTTAAGCACAGTGAACCCAAAGCCCAAAGCCGAAGCGGACGTGAGCAGAGTTAAAAAACACTGAGCGAAAAGGTTATTAAATTAAGTAATACATATTTGATGTTTATATAATTTTGATGTTTATTTAAAACAAGAAATTAAACTAACTGTGGAATGTTGAGGATTATATTCCTTTACAGTTGGCAAATTAATTTTAGCATCGAATCCGAAATCGATTATAGCTAAACTTGAAATATTCGATATTTTGATATAAAAGTTGTTCAACAAATCATAGTTTAAAAATCTCATAACTAAGCCAAAAAGGCATTAATTTTGATTCGGGAAATTGTCCTAGGTTTGTTTTTATTAAAATAACCAATCTGCATACTAAATTTACATTTTTAAAAAATTAAATTTTTTCGCCCAATTTTTGGCAATTTTGACGATGTAACCCCTTAAAAAATTTCGAAAAATTTCAAAATATTTTTTTCTTTAAAATATAGCTAGATCGACTCGGCAGTTGATGCTGATCAAGAATATATATGATTTATAGGGTCGGAAATGACTCCTTCACTGCGTTTTTAGCCTTAGACTATCATTAGAATACCCTTTAAGGGTATATAAATTACCCAAATTTTCCATAGGAAAAATCTCTAGAGCAAATCTCTAGAGAGATTGAGAAGAGTTTTTCAGTGTCGAGTGTCAGACCAGCGGCAGTTACTTACTGGTTACAGTTAATAACAATAACTGCAAGTGTTTTAATTATGGTTTCTCAGCACTCTCTCTCTCTTTCTTTCTCTCTCTCACACTCTCTCTCACTCTATCTCTCTTCCCGCTGGCTATCTCTGCGCTTCGCTATCTCTTTTTTTCTATTTTTATTTTTCTATACGAGCAAACATGTATGGCGAACGTTATATGATATGGCACTATAATTCTCACCCAGGGTCCAAAGCCACTCACCGCCCACTGAACACCACCCACCACCGCCCACCACCGCCCACCTGGTGGCGCCCACGTTTTGTCACATTGCGTGCACTTGGCAAATAAAAAAG